ACAATAAGGCTTTTAAATAAGTCATGGTTGTACGGCAGTGAAGCATCGGTATTGAACACTGATGCCATGCTGTCGATGATGATGATGGTGATGATTGGATGGGATGACCGCGTTTATATTATGAAGCTCTTAAAACGTATGCTGATAAGTTCGGGTATTTGTATAGAACTGGGGGTAGGATCGGTAAGCTATGATGATGATGATGACATTGGATGACCGCGTTTATATTATGAAGCTCTTAAAACGTATGCTGATAAGTTCGGGTATTTGTATAGAACTGGGGGTAGGATTCACTCGGTAAGCTACTTTTGCTCGCCAAAAAATGGGTGCTAGAGGTTCACAATCTGGTTAAGAATGTTGCACTTTCGTCCCTATGATTATCGAGAATTCCACTTTGCCGTTTGTGACAGCCGAGACTTCTGACTATCTTGGAATCGTTCCCACCTGTGGACGAGCTCCCGTTGCCAGTCTCTGAATTGGTACTGTTAAAGTTCACTCATTACGGCATGTTAGCATTTATTTCACACTCCAGTGTCGAAACGCAAAACCCCTGGAAGATATACAAGTGCTCCTTGGCACATAGTTGAGCGGTTGCCACCTTATTAGGACCACGGGATTCAGATTGATTGCTTCGGTGCATTTCGCTTGCACAGTGTCTCCAGGGGACCCGGATGACCAACTGCTGATGGACAGTGGCTTGGGGATTCACTTACGTAACAGCACATAAAACGAATCTTTTGACGGTTTGCTGATGTCTGAATGAGGTGCCTTACAATCAAACAGGCTGGATCACAACTTGACATTAGACCTTTTTGAGCAAGCTGTGTTACAAAGGTTTATCAACCGCTCGCCCTGACACGCCGGTCTGTCATGCCGCTGTCCTCAGCTGTACGAAAATTGACAAACTACAGGGGCGGTAAGTGAATTGGAAGAACTACCCTTGCTCAGTTGGAAAATAGCAAATACGGATGTCTAATTCAGTTGCGCAATATTCTGAACTTGTCTGATAGCCACATTTTGTGTTGTGATCACCTGTGAACTACGGAGCTAGATAGACTATTTGCTTTCCAACTTATTTTACTGCAGGTTCCTGAATTTCATTGCGACCTTTAGCTAAGGACTCTTCGTTAAAAACTATCTCTTTTCCTTTAATTTGTGCAGACTGTAGGTTCACCTTGTGCTATAGAGCAGAGTTTTGACCAGAATGAGTTTGCAAGTTATCAGTGTAAACTTAGAGAAACGAAAATTTGCACTACAATGAAGAAGGTAACGTACCTAACCACCACAGGCACATCCAAAGTAGATAAACTGGAGTCGGACTCACATGTAGATTCTGGTAGGCATAATTGAGAATACCATAGAAGTGGTTGTAGAAAATGTAGAAAAATATATCACGGGTAAGCGACTAAATTTTGCAGCCAAACGGTTAAATGGTGGGAGCCAGGTACCAGTACATGAAAACTACTGGCATATTTTCTCCCAAAACGACACACCCAAATCCCACAGAAATCATCCTATTAAGACCTATCAGCAGCTCCATGAACTCCAATGTTGTTGTATACCATGTGGACCGCAGTAGGAGGTGCTTCTGTACTGATCACCCAAGGGATGCCTTAGATCTCTATGAGGACCTGGATGGCGTTTTGGTGCTTTTTCAGTTGTTCTCTATTGTTGATGATTTCTTTTTATGAACACGCCCTTGCACTCGATAGTTGACTTTTCATGAAATTATCTTTACAGCGAGAAGCTTAAATTTACCAATTTAATAGTAATAATGATAATTGTTCAGCTGTAACACCCTTTCGGTCCCTAGCTGCCATGCCACCCAAAGGAAGCATGAGGGCTGAGATACTGCCAGGTTGCCCAAGCCTAGATAGGGGAAGTCGGGGTCGAACCACGGACCTTCCGGTCAGTGAATTCGCGCTCTAACCACTGAGCCATCTCGCCCCCCTCTCCGAACAACATGGGAGCACTTTCTTCTACCCACGAAATAGCCACGCCCTCTATCAACTGATACGATCGACTGGCCCTAGAAAAGCCATAGTCAGAGAACCGATAAGTGAAAATGATGGCTCATTAATTCACTCGCAAAAACGTTGACTGGAAAGATGGGCCGCACACTTCGAACAGCAGTTTAGCTGGCCTCCTGCAACACAGCCTGTGGAGACAGTGTATACGGGCGAATGGATGTAAACCTTGATCGCCCGTCGGAAGAAGAAATAAAGTACGAAATATCCGTAAGGTAACGTGAGAATACACCAGGACCGGATGATCTGTATCCAGCCCTCTTCAAAGAAGGGTGAGAATCCCATCTGCTATATGGAACGGAGAGGTGCCTGAAAAATGGAAGACGTCGACAGTTATACTTATCTCCAAAAAGAGTACGCGGATGCTGTGTGAAAACCACCGTGGTACCAGCCTGTTAGCTCTGGCATCGAATGTCCTCTCTGGCCGTATCCTTTGAAGGTTGACTGAGCACAGAGAGAGCCAGATCTGTGAAACCAAGCCGGGTTCCGTCCTGCAGTTGGTTGCATCGATCATATCTTCACCCTCCGACAAATTCTGGAACAGCGACACTGCTTCCAGCAGCCAACAATGGTTGTGTTTCTTGATCTGAAAGCTACCTCTGACTCTGTTGACCGTCAGGCACTATTGCAGTGCCTGTGGAGCAAAGGTGTCCCCCATAAATTATTGACCCTTCTTAAGGCGCTATACGCCAACTCCCGCGGCCGTGTGGGAAGCTCTCGCCTGAGTTCACCACATCAAGTGGTGTCAGACAGGGCTGTTTCCTTTCACCTTTCCTCAACTTCGTCATTGATACGATTATGGATGACTCACTACCAGCCTCTAATGCCTGTGGGGTTACTGCCAGGTTGCCCAAGCCTAGATAGGGGAAGTCGGGGTCGAACCACGGACCTTCCGGTCAGTGAATTCGCGCTCTAACCACTGAGCCATCTCGCCCCCCTCTCCGAACAACATGGGAGCACTTTCTTCTACCCACGAAATAGCCACGCCCTCTATCAACTGATACGATCGACTGGCCCTAGAAAAGCCATAGTCAGAGAACCGATAAGTGAAAATGATGGCTCATTAATTCACTCGCAAAAACGTTGACTGGAAAGATGGGCCGCACACTTCGAACAGCAGTTTAGCTGGCCTCCTGCAACACAGCCTGTGGAGACAGTGTATACGGGCGAATGGATGTAAACCTTGATCGCCCGTCGGAAGAAGAAATAAAGTACGAAATATCCGTAAGGTAACGTGAGAATACACCAGGACCGGATGATCTGTATCCAGCCCTCTTCAAAGAAGGGTGAGAATCCCATCTGCTATATGGAACGGAGAGGTGCCTGAAAAATGGAAGACGTCGACAGTTATACTTATCTCCAAAAAGAGTACGCGGATGCTGTGTGAAAACCACCGTGGTACCAGCCTGTTAGCTCTGGCATCGAATGTCCTCTCTGGCCGTATCCTTTGAAGGTTGACTGAGCACAGAGAGAGCCAGATCTGTGAAACCAAGCCGGGTTCCGTCCTGCAGTTGGTTGCATCGATCATATCTTCACCCTCCGACAAATTCTGGAACAGCGACACTGCTTCCAGCAGCCAACAATGGTTGTGTTTCTTGATCTGAAAGCTACCTCTGACTCTGTTGACCGTCAGGCACTATTGCAGTGCCTGTGGAGCAAAGGTGTCCCCCATAAATTATTGACCCTTCTTAAGGCGCTATACGCCAACTCCCGCGGCCGTGTGGGAAGCTCTCGCCTGAGTTCACCACATCAAGTTGTGTCAGACAGGGCTGGTTCCTTTCACCCTTCCTCAACTTCGTCATTGATACGATTATGGATGACTCACTACCAGCCTCTAATGCCTGTGGGGTCGAACCGCTCCCGGGGCGTCCTCTCAACTCTTCTTAGATCTGACCCCGTGGTGATACGCACAATATTTAATAATTTAAATAATTCCGCCTCATGGTTAGGCAATCGCGTACACCTGCAAATTGTAAAGTGCTACTGCAAGACTGGGTGGACTCGAACCCAAGCCCCATTCTTGCGGATGAACAAATTTGTTCACCCGTGCAGCTGTAAATGTCCTGGTCTGGCGAAAAATGATATTTCCATCCGGATAGGGAAGACCAAATCAGCTTTTGTGAACCTGCGTCACCTGTGACGTGGACGTGACATCAGCTTATCCGTCAAGGGTCGAGTTTGATGATTGCTCAGCTGTAACACCCTTCCGGTGCCTAGCTGCCATACTACCAGAAGGAAGCATGAGGGCTAGGTTACTGCCAGGTTGCCCAAGCCTAGATAGGGGAAGTCGGATGGCAGAGGTTGGGTTCGAACCACGGACCTTCCGGTCAGTAAATCCGCGCTTTAATCACTTGAGCCATCTCGCCCGGTCGCCTCGGGCCGAGTTTACAATGCTGCGGTGCGTTGTATATTACTATACGGATCAGATACCCATCCGCTATGCGCCGAAGACGTCAACAGACTTTCAGCCTTTGGCCGTCGATGTCTTCGGAGCATTGTCCGAGTGTGGCGGGAACACCGGATGATGCATGCTGAAGTACGTCTAGTGGTATTCAAAGAAATAACACCCCCGATAGGCGAACTGATCACACCGCATAGGTTGAACTGGGTTGGCCACTTGCTGCGTATGCCAGTCGATCGACCTCCTCGCACAATCACGTAAAGGGTGGAAACCAGCCACGGGCGGTCAAGCAATGGATTAGGAGTGAAGTCTTCCGTCTTTCTGGATGGGGACTCCGAGCGGACCACATCAATGGTTAGAGACATTGTCAGACATGGCCCAGTCGCGCTCCTAGTAGTGCTCATGCATCTAAGCGATTGCCTTCAACGCATAGCTCCCTTCCAGGTCCCCACATTTAACAGTCCACCGACAGTGCTGTATTTATTAGCTCCCGCCTTCAATGCGCAGCTACCTACCGCACCTCCCCGAATCATCAGGGGACGAAACTGTGGCAGCCACAAACACTGTACGATAAGTACGCGGTTCTCACAGCTGACAATGATTATGACTAATATAGTGACGCTGCTGCATAACTTTCACAGTCGAAAATGCCTATCCGTCTGGCAACACCAACACTCCCTTTCTTCCTAAATTTGTAAGATAGCGAAATTTATACAAACTATGGTACACGATTTGCGGCGGCATCCTATCAAGCGATTCCCCCAATAGTTAAGGCTAGGTTTTTTAGATGTATTGCATCAAAGAGTGTCAGCATCATCAGATCTTGTTAGAAATGACGTAAATCATTCACCGAGTGAGTGTACGATCCGAAACTGATAACGGTTTCAGTTAACACACTCGCTATGCGCTCGTTAGTGTTCTCACACTATGAATCAACATTTCACAGCGACCAGACTCCTTCATCTCCTTCGAACTAGGTTTGGAGGCGGCCTGTCATCTGATATTTGGCCATAAGGAGGCAACTGAACGAAAAGGGTCTGAAACCATTGGTTTAATAATCTGTTCTGTCAACAGCATTCAATTAGCCATGTGCATCCAGCGGGGCGCTTTTGATGAATAATAAAATGCCTAGCAATTTTGATGTCGCGTTCGACTCACTTAAAATAGATAGTGTTTAGCGAGACTTTTTACTGCATGTTGGGACGTTCTTCTTGTTGAGTAATCCCCTACAGTAACACTCATTCGTCCCACAGCGATTGTTTCCTCGGGACAGTGATCACATGTTATGAAGTAGTTTTTTGTGATAGAACTCCTAGAGTCCTAAAAATATCCATTTCTCTTTCATTCAAATGCTGCAGAGTAACTAGAGTCCATGTGATTTTTCCTGTGCTTGGTTAGAGACACTGAACGGTGCGGCGGCTAGCCGATGTCAGTGGCGTTCGTGCTGTCAGTTGCTATCCGGACTCTCACTGGGTGTTGAGGGTATGGTAGGCTATCCCTAGATCGTTCTCCCTGTCCCCTTTTCTTTCCCATCATGTGGCTCTATTCAAATAAATTAACACAGTTGTACATCAGTGAAGCACCAGTGTTCTCATATGGTGTTGTTGTACGTGATGATGATGATGACGTAGAACGAACTGACACAAGTACTCAGCTTGAGGTCCATGCCAGTTGAATGAGCTGACGATCACTTTAGTTAGCCGCGTCCTTCAGCCTACTTAATGGATTTCTTTTAGGCAACCTAATTTAAATGATAAATAATCTGAAAGGGTCAGCTTGCAATCTAGCTGTAGCTGTTTGTCCGGATGGAGGCCCAAAGATGGGACAAACTGGGTACTACTAGGCAAGTCCGATAATGATCACATCGTGGATCTGTGGCCTTCACTTCCCATTTCCCATCCGTCCAAAAATATCCGACCGTCATGTCAACGGATGTTGCATTGGCCTCCGGCCTTTTCATGTTACTCCTTCAGTTGGGACCGCCATTTTTACTAGTAACCAATCGAATCGATCGTATGCTTTCTACATAACCATGCCCGATTCTCATTTAGTCACGTTGTGAGCCGTGTCATCACCCATTGTCGAGCTCCGCCACCAACTACTGTATGGCACGGACCAAAGGTATTTGAATGAGAAATGGAAAATAACGCAAGCAGCACACACATACACATAGGTGTAAAATGCAGAAATTAGGGCTTTTTGCCAGGCCATTCACTGGGATGAGCCCGCCTTTAATGGCCTGGCTCATACAGCTTTTGCTAGCATGCGTCGTGTCCTCTTTGCATGGAGTCTGTGTCGATTAGAACAAAACTCTCTGACTCACCGTGTCGTTTCTGTACCCACTCAACTTCGTATCCACCTATCTTTTATATCCCCATTTTCAGCATAGCCATCCAAGAGATATGTGGTTCCCTTGGTGACGATCAATAATGTGCCACGTACTGTGTCATATACATAAGATATATGTATCTTTGGACAAATTTGCTGTAATCCGATTGAGGTATTTTTTTATCTCCCTTCCCGCAGATGACCAAAGAAAAGGCGGCGGGACCGCATGCGACGACAACAACAACAGCGGCAGTAGTTGAAGGAACGGGGGCAGATGAAGCTCCCAAAGAGGAAAAAAAGAGAAAAAACGAATAGCAAAAGCTTTTGATCACCGTCGTATTCTGTACGATGGCATGTTGTTTGGGTGCGTTAAAATCAACGCATAATTGGACAGCGAGTTTGTTTTAATTATGAAATCGGGACAGCGAACTGAAATGCAGTTAGACAATTTTTTGTTCATATATCTACGTCCCTTCATTGTGATATGAACTTTTTTCGTCTCTGTTTGTTGTAATACACAACTTTGATCCCACTAAACATTACTGGGTTTCTTCGCTATCCAGTTTTGAAGCGCGTTAATAAATTGTCATATTTCTCAGTTGATTCGGTGCATAGTTGTTCATTGCACTCACTTAGACGTTTCGGGAAGAGATGTTTCGTTTCACGTACTGAATAGTATCGAGAATCATGGCATCCAGGATTCGAGCTACTTGTTGGGCCTTTTGATAACGCCGGGATGCGGCTCGCGTGAAACGGTGAGAGTCCTGCCGATGAGAAACTCGGCGCCCCCTCCCCGTTGTGATGCTAAAGTGTCGATCTAGACTGTCCAAATCGTCTTGCATCCGTCCACTTCGGGCTCGTCTTTCTACTGAGGCTCTCTGCGGTGTGGGTACAACGCCGGCGCCCCTTTTTGCTTCGGCCACTGGTTCGGAACTATAATGGGATGAAGATTGTTTTTCCATCGATCGTGCAGTTAGATCAAGCCCCGTTTCGACGGTCAAGTCAGACGGTTCGGATCTTATTTTTCGCTTTAACTGTTCTCTTGTTTTGGCGGCTAGTAAGTCTCTTTCTTCTGGTGTCATTTTCGCAATCTGCTCTGCCAGAGTTAATCCATCCCACATGTTCTCTGTTTCAAGGTCCGAATGCTTCCTAATCTCCGCATCTAAACGCTTAGTCGTCTCGTCGATAAATGCTAAGAGTTCGCGACCTGTCAGCGTCAGCAAGCGATTTAGTAATTCTAGTTTCTCGCGTTCTTTATCGGGTTGTATTGAATCAGTGATCGGCGTAGTTACTTTCACCGTATCTTCCTTACTGGGGACTGAAACTAGCTCCTTGGGGGTTGTCACGCTGGAGTGTTGTGATGCGTCGCTTCTCAGTTGTTTCACAAAGGCTTCTTTGGCTTCCAGCATCGCTGTGTCTACGCGTTGTATCAATTCCGCCACGGTAGAGAGTTTCGTCGTTAACAAATCTGGTAAGCTTAGCAGGGGATCGGCCAGCTTTTGGTTAACACTCATCAACAATTCAGCACGCGTGGTATCTGCCATCTGCGTAATGACTTCACCCATTTTCATCTTCGTGTCATCCGCGAAAATTGGTCCGCCTATTTGGAGCAGCTCAGTCAGGAGTTTTTCGGCTGGGCTCACAGCTGATTCAGCTAACTGCTTGGTTTGGCTTTCGGCTTCCTCGGCAGATTCTGCAGCACCGATCTCCGACATGTATGGGGCCCGTAGATCAGTTCCGTCTTTGGATTCTATTTCGCCTCTTAGCTGTGCTGTAAGCTTGATTCGTTCCATCTTATCCATATCGTTCAGCTGCTGCACCATATGAATAATAGCCTCTAGTTCCTTCCTGTCCTCTGCTGGCAATTCATCTCCAGCTAAGGCCAATCTAGCCTTGGCATCTTCGACCATTTTTTGTCTTTCTTCGTTCGTCAAATTTATCATGCCCTCTATGGACATGGCAGCTGTCTCTATGTACTTGTGTTCTTCCCTTCCCCTCTCCGGTATCCACTCGGTCTGGCTACCGGGCACGACTGTAGTATCAATCTCATCGGTCACTCTCTCCGGTGCTGCAGTGCTTTGGGATATCTCTTTTTGTAAATCCAGCATAATGCGTTCTTTCGTATCCTGCAGGACTGCATCCACCGCTTCTGCTAAGTGCACCACCGTATCAAGCTTTTGCCCTTCTGCCTCCAATCCAGCTAATTTTTCCAGCCTTTCTTTCGCACTTCCAGTCAGTTCTGTTCGCACTGGATCCGACAGGTCAGCTATTTGGCGAGCCATGTAGATCGTCGTATCATCCGAAAGGGATGCACCTTCATGGGCGAGCAATTCTTCCAGCACTTGTTGTGCCTTCATATCCGTTGTTTGAGTTGTTTGCATTTCACCTTGCTTCCATATCGGCTCGTGCAACACCGATCCACCGAGTTCGGTCACTTTTTCACCGACACCACTTGCAGCAGTCTGTCCAAAGGATGCTAATTTTTGTGCCTCTATTTGAGCGTACTGTTCATCTAGTTCGGTACCTCTGGGATCGTGAATGTCCATTTCTCTTAGACCCGCAATCAGTCCCCGTCCACTTTGTTGTATGTTACCTTCTGCTGCGTACGGGGCAGTGACGTCTTCCCTAATTAGTGCCCCTTCTTGGTGCGCTTCAACTGTCATCCCGACGGCCTGTTCATCTGCCTCAGCCACCTGTCCCAGTTGTTCCTGATCACGTTCCTCTTGCAGCGTTATTGCTTTAAGGTCGTCCATGCTGTTCGTTTGTTCACCAACCAGCGCACTCATTGGCGGGTTTTCTATCCCTGAGCTCGTTTCCTCTAACTGTGCATCTATTCTTTCTGTTCCGGGTAGCTGTTCATTTGGTACCGGACTTGTTCGACGACTCAAGTGCTCGAGTGTTTGCGTCATCTGTTCAGGAGCTTTACCCGCGATAGCAGTAACTGACATTTCGGGAGATTCTCCCTCTTTAACCCCCAATATTACCTCCGTCGTGATGTGCTTTTTTGCAGAATCCGGTGTGTTGGGTTCTGAACTGGTTATAGTAATCTGTTGTACTGCCTCAAGACGCTCAATACCTGGTTCTTGTGAGTGCCTGACGATTGACAACTGCTCAGTAATTTCGTAGTCAGTTTTGCTTGGCGTATCTCGTTTCACTCCTTCGTCCTGTTCAGTACTTGCCAACTTCACCTGCTCCAATAATTCGTTCGCCGATTTTTTCGTTAGGCGTGAAATTTCCTCTTCCGTGAGCTCTGTTACAGATTTCTCTTCAAGTTCCTCACTAGCAAGTTTACTCTCACCGATTTGTCGGTGTTCATTCAATTCTTCAACAGTGGGTAGATGTGACTCCGTTTGACTAGGCTGAACCTCCGGTCGCAATGCCTCTGCCGAGGGGCCTTCCTTGTCCATATCTGCAGTGCTGTTCCCTAGAACAGCCGTTGCAGATGAGGTCTGAGTAGCGGGTCGTTGAACTTCCAATTCGCTTCCTTCGTGCGCTGTACTGGGTTGCTCGGTCAAGTGAACATCTGCATCGGACTTGCTAACCTCCCGCTTTAATTGCATCGGTTGTTGCGCTTCCATATCTGTTTGCATGACTATTGTATTCTCCTCTGACTGTCCTTCTCTTTTTCCGGTTTGTACTCTTTCCTTTGTTGTCTCAGTGAAAGGAATCGTATCAGCAGCTGCCAGTGTATCAGGTAACTGGTCAGTTGTAGATCCCAAACGCTTGGATGGAACATCATCTATCGATATCATGTAGCTGTCTACCTTTTCCTGTTCTTGCATCAACAGTTGAATACCTGCAGTGCCCGTCATGTCTTCTTGTAATACCCGTTCTTCAGACTCTGCACTGATCGTTCTCCTGGATACGTGTGTGCTCAGCATTTCCGGCGCTTCCTCAGTCTGGTCTTTTGGCACCAAGTGTTCCAACTCGCCTGTCTTAGCAACCGACATCCCAAAAGTCATTTCAGCCACTTCTCGCACCTCCTTGATGGGTATTTCGTTCATTGTCTCCGGAGTTAATACATCTTTCCTGTCCTCTAATGGCTCGCTTACGTCTTTTTGTTCCCGTTCAACCGCTTTGACAGTTATTTCCAGAGTTAAACTCGGTGTATGAAGTTCCGTCCTAGTTACACTGTCTGGTATTGTTATGGTCAATTCCGTCGAGAATGTTTGTAATTTATCCTGTCCTCGTGACTGTGTCTGTTGCTGTTCTCCCACCTCGGTTTCTCGTTCCGACACGATAGCCGTTCCATCAGTTGCAGGGGTTACTTCCTTTAGCAAACTATCTCCGATGGTTTGTTCACTAAGAGGCGAGATAGCTAATTCACCGGGCTCTATGGGGGTTTGCGCATCCTGTTCTTCTGCCTGACCCACGTCTACTGGTGAAAGTGTCTTCTCTGGAATTTCACCTTCAGGTTCTGGGATCGCTGGTTCTTCAGTCCCCATGATTCCCTGTTTACCTTCCGTTTGCTCCACCGGAGCTTCGATGGTTGGTGACGGGGCCTCTTCCGGAATTTGTTCTTCTTCCTGACCCTCTACTGGTGGGGACGTTTTCTCTGGAATTTCACCCTCAGGCTCTGGGATTGCTGGTTCTTCAGGCCCTGTGATTTCCTGCTTACCTTCCGTTTGCTCCACCGGAGCTTCGGTGGTTGGTGACGGGGTCTCTTCCGGAATTCGTTCTTCTGACAGACCCACAATGGTTGTCGGGGGCGATATTTTATCTTCCGTTGTGTTGATGAACTCAGCATTGGTCACCGTAGTTTGCATAGTTACACCTGGCGTGACATGAGTTTCGATCTTTTGTTCAACTTGCACAATTTTCCCATTCACCTCAACGGGTCCCACGATCACTTGGTGCTTAAATTCTACGGCCGGAAGTCGGTCTTCGTTTTCTGGCTGAAACACTGGCTGTGCGAGTTGAACCGTACGAACCGGTGCTTCAATTGGCAGGCAGACGCCTTCAGCAGTTTCCAGGAACACCTCGGTTGTCAACTCCAGCCTTGGATTGAATGCTTTCTTTATTTTATCGGTCGTTTCGTCCAGCGTTTCAACAAAATCTTCAAGTACATCGGCGTGGCTCACAACACGCAGTTTTTGTTCCGGGGATGTTGGTGGCCTAATTTCGTCGGCTTTACCTTTTTTCATCCCAGTTGGTCCCAAATAACCACCTTCTTCGGTCATATCTTCATGTTGTGGTCCAAGCTGCTTTTCAGACGATACCCCCTGTTTAGGTTGGCCCCTCTCAGTGGTGCCTGACAGAGGACTTGCAATCTCGGGTAGATCAATTGTGGGTTCGGGTGAACTTGTTTCCTGTGGTGATGTTAGGAAACTGAAAGCCGCTGACGGTTCAAGAGGTGCTCCTCCATCCAATGGACTCGCCAGTCCATCGGTTCTGTCAGGGTAGAACGACGTATCTGGTTTAGATGAAGGACTAGGGGCTTTTGACAAATCTCCAGCTTCTGTTTTCCCGATCATTTTGGCCAAAGCAGGTATGCTGCTGTGAAATCCAGCCCTAGCATCCACTGACGTGTCCCGCTGTACTCTGAAATCGTCGTGAAGTGCACGCAACCCACCGATCCTTTCCGGTTGAGCAGCTCCCTGAATCGCGACTGATTGCTCATTTGCCACATGACCTGTCGCTGAAGAGACTAGTATCGATGTTTTTGTGGTCGTTTGTATGTCGTAGCCACTGTTTTCTCGCTCTCCGGTAGTCGGACTACTCGGTTGTGAGGGTATTCGAACTTCAACTGAGATTTCCTGTTTCCCACTCAGACCTAGTGGTGTTCTGCGAATCGACTCGATTTCTTGTGCTTTTGGTCCCTGTGACAATTCTGGCTGAGTAAGAGGGGAACCGGGTGTATTCGTCTGAGGCCCAACAGTCAAACTGGTCTTCGCCTTCAACCGTATATCCGTTGTACCTGAGAGCTGGCGCTGTTCGTGTTCGATTCTTCTACTCTCACTCTCTAATGTCGTTACATTGTTCATCCATGAGGTAGTTCCTAATCCACTTGATTGGCGACCAGTGTAGAAAGTTTCCTGTTCCACCGATACTTGGGTACTTCCGGAAAGAAGCTCGTTAGTTGGGGAAACGGTCCCACCTCTCATAGGGCTGCTCAGCCGTATGCTGGCTCTGAACGAGAAATTGGCGCCTTTCTCATGCCTAGTAGAGCTAACCAGGCCTCTTTCGACTGGTATGGGGGAGGTTGAAATTAATCCAGTTGTGGTCGGACCTATCTGGACACTGCTTTGTGGTACCGCTCCCATGGAAACGGTAATTGGGTTCCTTGTTTGTTCCCCTATGTCCACGCTGGATGATATATGAATGTTACCGTCTGTCATCACCTTGGCAACCTGAGCAAGTGAAACCTCCCCATCTTCAGCGCTCTCGTTGCCACCCTTCGATAGTGTATTCGAGGCCATGGTAGGTGTACTACTATGTAGTTTTGTCACTGCAGTGCTTAGTGCTTTTTCTGTGATCTGGCGGGCCATTTTTGTTTGATTTCCATCTGACCCACTTGTAGACGATTCCTCATTTGGTGAATTGGGTCGAATATCGGATCCGACGGTCGTACTTAGAACTGATTTAGGTTCGGTGGACACGTCCAAGAGATAGGAGCGTGTTTCGTCCCTGAGCACTTGTCCGTCGCGTTTAATCTTCTGTGAGATCGTAATGTGAACTGGTGTTGTCGGTCGGCTGTGTCCTATACCATTCGAACTTCCTGGTGTGTTCGCACCACCGGCTGGAGTTGGCAAATTGCTGTTACTTGACCCACCCACGTTGTGATTCGATGGCACAAGCCCGTCTTTGGCTTTGGTCCTGTGCAACTGGATAGGAGTCTCGGATCTCTCTGCAAGTTTGTAGCCTGTTGCTGAAGTGGGAAGCGCGCTATCTGAGTTGGTCCGGTTCGATGCGTGAATAGTAGAGGTAATTGACCAGTCCAGAGGACTGGTCGGTCTTGAATATTCTCTGTCCATAGTGTCTTCCGTGGGTGGTTTGGTCAAATGCAAAATCCGAATCCTTGAACCTTTTGCATCCCCAGTATCGACAAAACGAGGCAAAAATGTGCTACTGCCAGTAGCTGAGCTGGTGGCAATAGATAAGTCGGGTGACCATTTGTACTGGATGTGATTTGCGCCTGTACTGGATGAGCGTACTGGTCTCCTCCCATTTCTCATACGCATTGACAGTAAAATACTGATCTTTTCATCTGTTAGGCTCTCTGTCTCGTCGCACGCTTCATGGGTGTGACGCCTGGGGAACTTTTCTGCTGCGATATTTTGGGTATCCATAATACCATCTTCGCTAACTTTGCTGGCCAGTACATCTTCCATCGTCATACTTCTTGCTTGTGTGTATTCCTTTATAACCGGATTGCAACGCTCCTGTTCATTCGACATTGGCAGATATCCGGTCAGAGATGGTTCCAGACTTGGCGAAGGTCTCCCTTTGCCATCTTCAATCGGGTGACTAATGGTTAAGTCGAATTCATGAGTTAGTATCTCTATCGTTTCGCCTAATTTGTCTGAGGGAGTCAAGTGGAGTGCAGTCGGAGTTTGCCTATCGTGATCTTCCATCACCTTTCCGGTCCCGTAGCCTGACTCATGTGCAGCGTTTTCGGGAACTTCCTGCAGGTGAACATATACGTCCATCTTTGCCATATTTTCTTCAACTTCAAGCAGTTGTGTTTCTACACGGATTTCTGCTCGTGTTGTTGATCTATCCGCCGAACAGTCAGGAGGTTGCACGTAGCGCGCGTCGAGCAGTACTTCGATCTCTTTAGTATCAACGGCAATCCCCGTTTCCACTTCATGTTCTGACCGAAATCTTTCGTTCACTGCGGTTGCTCTGACTGATGGTGACGTTATATCTTGATCTGTCTGACCCTCTAAGTTGCGTTCTTCCGCGACCACGCTCTCACAAACTATTTGCTCCTGTCTCGTCTGTGCTTTTATTGTATCAGAAGCACCCATTTGGTCAGCTGTTCCATCTGACTGCTGTTTCTCTGGAAGCTTAGTTATAATGTTAGGGCCAATGATCAGTTTGGTTTCTTCTGGTTGTTCGTGCTCAATTGAGTTGACCCTATCATCAACTCGAAAGGTACCCTCTCGTTTTCCACGGAACGTGACATCTACTTCCTCCATACAGTCCGATCTCATAACGATCCCGTCGTTCGAAGTCCACTGTACCACGTAGTTACCTTTCAGTAAATTGCGACTAGCCGACACATCTTCTGTGAAAGATCTACCTGCGGACGACAAAATGGAGCCCTGTTCAGGCAACAGACTAAGGCTCTTTTCCAATTGCATTGGACTATCCCGGCTATCATCTATTGTTTGTTTATCCTGTTCAGCCATAACCAGTGCAATGGGTCCTCCAGATTCAGTTTCGAGATTGTACAGTTGTGGATATTCACTACCCAATGGTGTCACAGTTTTTGCGGTTTGGTGAACGCCGATGTGGACTGCCTTAGGGGGTTTTACAGGACTCACAAGAAGCTGGTCAAAATGAACTCCCACTGGTTCTGGTGAAGTCACTCCTCCTTCTAGGGCATTGTTGATATCTGATGGTTGCACATTTCCTCCCGGTCTACTAAAGTGCTCCGCATCCATTTCGAAACCTCCACTGGCTAGCATCGCCTTCCCGTCCCGGTACAAAGCAAAATCATTTTCTATTTTCATTGTGAGATCGATGTTTATTGGCCCGTTCTGACCATCGTTCACTTGTTCCATACTTGGTTCCAAATGTGCTGGCATGCTGACTGCATACATTCCATCAGCTTCTAGGAGTGGGTTATTTGGAACATATGTCGTGGGGTCCGAACAAGTTGTTAGCATGGTTTGTGTAACTAGGTTCATGTCAATTTTTGTTGGATTAGGCAGACCTGGGTCCACCACAGCTGTAGATTTCACCATTACCCTTAACAACGGTGTCGGTGGCCTTTTCTGAATCTCTGCATCACCCGGGCCATTTGTTAGTTGGCTAGGTTCAATAGCTTTATCGGCCGTATGCTGGTATCTAGGCCGGTCATCTATGAGAATTACCCTGTTAGCTAAATCTCTGTCTTCGTTGGCCCGTCCTACTCCCATAGACCTCCCCTCGGCATCTTGACTGGGGGTCAATACTTTGTCCGGTTTCATGGCCCTTTCAATTTGTTGATCTTTTTCCGTTTTCCCAGCTGACGGTCCTTCACGTGATTTTTTAGCTGGTTCATCCAGCTCGGAATGATCTTGCTCGTCAAGTTCAGAGCCTAGCTCATTGACCAACTGTGTTTCCATGGCGACCACATCGTCTGTCTCTAATATTACTGGGTATGCTTCAGTTGGGCCTTCATTTGCGAACATGGAGATCATGTCTGCCTCTTCTGTATGTTGTAGGACTTCCAATTTTGATACCTCTGACGGTTCAAGAACAACCATTTTATCTCTACTGAGTTGTCCACGAGTACTCGCCACAGTTTGGCGAGTCTCGTCAACCCACCATTTCCCCCCCTCCCAACGCATCTCTGTGGTTTTCTTCGTTTGCGGTTTCGTCCCCTCTATCCTTTCTTTCATGTTCAACTCCACATGAATTTTTACGTCGAGACCCTGAATTGCGTCATCATACTTCGCAATATCAATGCTTTCTTCCACCATTGGTTCGGTAGTTTTTACTTCTTTCAAATTGCGTGCATCCGTTCTTGTTTCCTTGGCGACCACGTCTTCTAACAGTGGTTCGGTATTCCTGGTCAACATAGTTGTCACTTTGTTCCCATGACTATCGTCTTCACTGTTTCCAGAAATGAGATTGATAGTCATATTAGGTAACCGTACTTTACCTTCTTGATCTATTGGAGTTGACTGGTCGCATTGCACTCTGATGTTTAGCTCCAACCCAACGAAGCCAGATGCTGTTGGACCATCTTGTAGTTGTGAATCCAGCTCGCGTGGGAACTCAGCCATTTCCATTTCAGCATTGACAGTTGTTGTAGGTGGATTGTGGTTCTTGACAGTCTCCGGGACTTTCAACGGACCTTCCATAGTTGGCCGTATTGGATTGGATATGATCTCAGGGGACAAGGTTTCTCGATTTTTAGGATCGATCATATCACCATCTTTGTGACCAGAGTTTACAGTTTCTTCGCCTATCTGCGCTCTGTTGTCACTAACCTCTACTGTGAGTGGTTGCTGCATTTCTTCCGCTTTCCCGAGTGGTTGTCCGCTAGCTGCTTTTGGCCGTGTACTGAACACAACCATCTCAGGTTCCTCATCATCATTAAAACCCGTTTCAGTTATTCCCCTGGCTGTTGTGTCACTAATTCTGGCAATTTCGTTCGGCAAACAAATTTCACTTGCAGAAGTTCTGTCTCTGTGAGTGACCAGTCCGTCTACTGATCTTCCGACCATTTGGTTGAGCTGTGATTCGGTATTCTGCCTTATCGCTTGTCCCGGATCTATGTACGAACTGCTTCTAACCAGCACAACCTGATCTGGTGATGCTTGCTCTTCACGAAGTTGATCAATGACTTCGGCGCACTCTGAATTTCGTTGAACAAGTCCTGTCACAGTTGCTTTTTGATCGGTGGTCGTTTCTCGATCCTTGTGAAGTTCAGTTGTGTTTGCCTCTGTATTCTCTGCCGACCCCGATCCATGCACTTCAAACGCATCTACGCATTCCACGTTCGCTGACCCTTCTTCGGACTTCTCAGCCTTAATCAAGTTGATACTGAGTCGTTTTTCATGTGGTCTTGGAGGGTAATACACACTGCTACTTGGTTGTGGTGACGTTACTTGAATATCCGTTTCAACCGTTACACTGAAATCGGGTGACAAGGGTGGGCTATGAATTATGATCTCTTGTCTTATTTCCACGCTCATTGGCGATTGTACGTTGGCGCCTTCGGTCAGTACTGAACTTGGTTTTGGTGGTAACGGTGGCGGTGATGTCCCAGGGTCTCTCTCGTTATTGTCTTCCTTTCCTCCCTCCGTCGGTGCTCTTTCATAATTTCCTTCTTCTAAACCGTGTTTCGCCTTGTCCGTGGTGGCAGGGACGGTTTTTGAATGCCATTTGTGGTGTATTCTCGCCCCATCATCGTCTTCTGGATCATGGTTCACTGCTGGGTGTTCATTTGGTTGTGTGATCATTGCATCCTCCGTCCTGGAACTCGGTTGGCATGTCGTGGGTCCACTGAAAATGGCCATCTCAGAAGGGCAGAGCGCTGTATATGTTTCTATTTGCCTCATATAGCCGGATGTACCATCAGCCGGTTGCTCTAATTTATTTGCATGATAGCATGATACTGATTCTGGACCTTCCTTGCATTTGTTGTCGGATTTCGATTGGTTCAGAGGTGAATGCATTTCGATAGGAATGCTGTCATTCAGTATCTGAATATCGCTGCCACCTGATGATGAAGACATTGTGACCTGAATGACCTGCATGATGCTGTCCATCGGCCGGCTACCACCACACCCTTCGGTTTCGGTTATCCTTGAGAAAGAATTGATCAGCGTTGTCTTGGATTCATCAGTAACCTGTTGATTTTGTAAATTGTCCGACGCTCCTGAGGATTGCATTCCAGACGTACCGATGTCGACAACACTGGTCTCGGCCATATCCACCCTGCACATCCAAACTCTGTTTGATGCCGGTCTTGTACTGATTTGCTCTAATTCTAGTGTGCTCACTTCCAAACTAGCCTGTCTTCTATGTTGCTCCGTAGGCAGTACCGTATCCTTCAGTTCCAATCCTGTGATTAATTTGTCTGGAGTTTCGCAACTCGAATGAACAGCGAGACTGTCGTTAGCTATTCGGCTGCCTGCGTTTGGCATTACATCCAACCACTGAGTATTTCGCGGTGAACCGTCCGGTAATGTCACTCTAATTTGTTGTGTAGTCATGTTCATCTCGTTGGTCTCTACTGCATCCCTACATGAAGTCGGGGTCTTGTCATGTTCACCGTAAGCTGGAGGAGTTTGATATAATGTAATTGTACTGAAAGGTGTCATTCGCACTTGCGGGCTGGACGGATATAGTTCAAGACCTTCATGAGTCTCCATGCCTGCCAACGCTGACATGGCATTCTCCAGACTGGTGTAGTAGGTAGTGGTATTTGTGTCGATGCGCCTCAACTCTCTAGACATTTGGACAGCAGTTCGGAACGTTGGTGATATATCCTCTTGTGCGCTCAGCCTGCTTCGCGACTGGTCGTTGAATTCCTGTTGAAAGTCTAAACTGATATCCATTTGACTGGATAAATCTGGTGGCCCTGAACTCGGTACCCGATACATTTTTACACTATCGCCAAGAATTGGACTAAAGCGCTGTGATGAATCAGGTTCCTTTTTGTTAGTGTTGTCCTTAAAGTATAATTCTTCGACAACAGATGGTGTGTACGTACCTTCCGATGTTGGAAAACCAAGTAATCCGCGTGCACAATCGAACAGACCAGTAAAAAGTACACCCGAGCAGGCGCTATGAATATGACCGACGTCACCTATTTGCAAGCCTTGCCTGTGTGGTTGATCGGTCACACAAAGTGTGCATACTCGTTTGACGTGCTCCGACCGTGGCAGGGGATACAGTCGAAAGGGTCTACTCGTCGTTGGATAGGAAAATGTCCGTCTTCGATGACTTCCCTTCTCCATATACCTCCAATGACAACATATTCCACCTTCTTTAAGTTCACGGAATCCCGCTTGTGTGATTCGGTATCCCGCAGGTAGAGATACGACCCGTTCTTGCGTGGTATGATCTAGATGTATTGTTGACTCGATATCATGCGTGTTCGTCGGCATCTCTCCCGAAGATCGTACGTGTACATTGGATTGTGTGGTTTGACCACTGTACGGTTGCTGTTCCGGTGAGACGGACCCCGTATCCGAAGTATCATCCGGACTATTATTGTTGCTCTGAATGGAACAGTCACCCAATAACTCGGCCAGTTTTGGCGCGACCGATGAACAAGCACATTCTCTTCTTCTTACTTGTTCATTCATTCTGTCATCTTGAAATTGTACATGAAAAACCTGAAATACAAAGCAAACAATTAGCCATCGTCACCTTTCTGGTTCTAACCATCATTCACGATCTATGACAGAGAAAAGTTTTGATTGTTGTGTAAAATATAGTTTTATTGAAAGTATCGTACCAAGCGGAAATAAAGAGTTAGAAATAATTTTGGAATCAAAAACCAGTCGGCGAGCAGGGAATTCAACTCAAAGAAATATGTGGATCAAGTTGGTTTTGGATCCTTCCATTTCATCGAAACAACGGAAGCTAAAGGAGACTGTCGCTTTTCTAACCGGTCTGGCCCTCCTGGATGTTGTCCGTCAGTTCGTTTTTCTTTGTTTATTCTTATTCAATCATTCTCTGAAATGCAAATGTGGCATAATTTTGAGCATCTCGATCGCTTAGTATTGGGTGGATGAGTATAACCTACAGGCGAATCATGACAGGTTCAGCTCCGTTTCGGGGCCAATCGGTCCTCACATTTTTCGATTCGAATCAATCACTGCCCTCATTGACCTGTTCAAGGATTTCAGCTCTCAACAATGGTGCGATCTTCACTGCTTCACTGGCAGACTACTTATTCGTTTGGTCTTGTAGTAGTAGTGGTAGTAGCTTTATTGCAAGCAGCGAGCTCAATCGCAAGGCAGTGATGCACGAACATTCAATTTTGATGCTGGGGTCAGCACCACCGGTAGTGTTTGCTCGTAAACCGACACAAGCGATAGTCAAGTGGTCGAATTTCTGTTAGTTTCACTGCAACATAGAATTATCCGCACTCGAACCCAATTTAGGGTCTCTCCTTTGGCTTGATGCTAAGATCACTCGTTGTACTGTATTAAGGAAGGCTATTTTGTTTACTCTTCTACCTTTTTTTTTACTTTTTTGCATCTGGAAAAGAGTTTCGAGATGGTTGGTGAATTCCAGTCACAATTCTCACATTACTGACCGTTATCAACATACGCATCGTAATATTTCCGCCTTGTTTCGACCGTACAAACCTTTTCTAGGTAAAATGCTGTCCTAGAGCTTGTCACTCTAGCTGGCAGTAGAATATCAAGAAGTGACCTAGTGACAAGAGCGGACAGTAGGTGGAATTCGGATACGTCTCTCATCCACCAGAATTTGCGTACTGTTTACGGAGTGAAGGCTCTATTTCCACTTGTGATTGGTTCATGAAAAAGAATTCCAAGTTTTCGTTACCACTACAACCATTTGTGCTCTCAGGCCTTTTTCAGTTTGTCTTTCTGTTGGGTTGATGTATCCGTAAATCATCAAAGTTCGCTGATTATATTCCTGTAACTTACCCATGTTACTTATCTACTTGTGGAATATGTCGTCTATTCCACTATCCCTTGAGGTTCCGTGATTCTGCGTGCACCAATATGGTTACACCAAAATGACCTCTGTCATTCTGCTACACATGTTGACCCTCTTAACTTACCGTTTCCTGATTGGGAGACAGTTCTTTGGATGAGGTTCGATAGCTCCGCATTGAAAACTGCACTTGACTTTTGTCCCTGCATTCCTATACCAACGGTAGATAGTCCTGAACTGGACTCAGAATCGCATAGGTCACCAGGTATCGCTGCGTCTGAGTCCTCGTGCCTATCTCTCATTCGCCCCTGTGCCATCGGGATCGTCTCATTGATGCTTAGAACATGTGGAGACGAAAAGCTTATTGACTCGGTTTCATCAACCACTGAAGTGCTTTGATTTGTCCTTAATTGTTCACTTTGATGGACACTTCTTGGGGAACTACGTTCGAACCCGTAGTCGATTAGAGTTGGTGGCACAGTTTTGCTGCATGAGCTCGGAGAAGCCAAACAACCACGAAAAACATGGCTTTCTGTTACATTCCCACGGTGATTTTCGTCACTGGACTTTTCCACCGTCGTATGAAATCCGCACCGATAATTTATTGGGGCCTGATCAGTTGTGGGCATGGAGTTGACTTTGGAGTTGCTCGATATCGAAATCTTCGAGCGGTTTGTTTCTGCTGGAAAGGGGATGTCTAAGGTAGAAGTTAATGAAATGGGACGGTATTTGCAGGTTTCGTCTGGAGGTAATATTGTTGGCTTCGGTCTAGCATTGAACTCAGCACTCTTTTGACAGAATCCTTCTGTGCTGAAATTTGGTGCCATAGTCGGTCTGGATCTTGCTCCTGTCCGTGCTATAGACTTGCTGACCTCATACTGATCTGCATGGTTAGGATACCATGGCTTTGCTGGACAGGTAGAATGAAGCTTAGGATGAGTCGCAGAGTCATACCTCATTGTCCGTGGAACGTAATTTTCTGCAATGGGGCTTGACAATTCACCGTAAAATTGGAGTTTTGCCTCCGTTTGTCGTCTGCGCCAGTCAACAGCTGTGGAGAAGTCTTGGTGATATTCATTCCCTTGTACATCCAACGCATTCGAGCTCGCTCGCCTGCGGTTTGGGTGGAGTGTTGGATTTCCGCATCTCACTGTGGAGCATTCCGTGTTCGTCCATCCTCTCACAACCGCATGATTTTCTTCATTATCGTTGCTGCATACCCTGGTGTTGCCCATCTTTTGACCAGTGTTTCTTAAGCACCCGTGTAACTGTTGTTTCGTAATACAAGATATGCTATTAAACAGCCGACCTGATGGTGAGTACGGTTCTGCACAACTAGTATTTTTCACGTAACCCATCTCCTTGTCTTGAGTCAGTTTTGATTCCGACTGGGCTAAATCCGATCTTGGCTCTCTGGAATTAGAGCGCTGATTCCTTGCCTTATGTCGCTTCATTGCTACTCTCTGTCTCTTGTATTGGTTTCGAAGCAATTCTGCTGTAGTGGTCAAAGTGTTTAGCAGAGTCATAGTCACCTTTTGCAATTCTGACGTTTCACTCAGCGTCCGTGTTGTCGAACTTGTTTCGTCTGACTGATCTTCGACACCGGGTTTTTCTAAACTCACCTTTTCAGGATAATCCAACTCACTTGGTGCTCGAGGTGTTCCGCACATCTCACATATAGAAAGAACTCCCTCCTGCACACCGGTTGCAGTGATTGGGCGTGCTGGGCGTTGTTTTCCCGAGTGTGGCTTAACTGTTCCACTTTTCAGCCGACTAGTGCTATAATGTCGTTTATTTGTGCCATATGGGAGTTCAAGGTCGGTTTGTCGAAGTGCTTTCTCACCGCTGAGACCTCTGTAATGGTGACGTCTCCTGTGTCGATAATGATGTAAACTATGAGACCATTCAGAGTCCTCATGACCTTCGAGCTGGTCTTTTGCAACGGAAGTGCCAATAAATTCAGTGTCCACTTCAACGTCACGAGTCTGAGGCTGCGAGTTAAATTCCTGATTCTTGTCCGGCTCAGGCTGATGAATAAATGGCTTTTGTGGATTAATCTCTTGTTCACTCGGGCTTTCAAAGGAAGTAGTTCCCACCTGGTCTACGAGGTAAGGTGGCACAGTCGATGATTCTGACAGCCCAGGTTCTTCTGCTAGCTCGTTCTCAGCCGAAGGAGTTAGTTGCATATTCAACATTTTGCCCACAATGTGACCTGAAAGCCTCTTTGCCTCTTCTTTATATAGGAATGTTGAATCCTCAGCTAGAGTGTTTGGGCGAATTTTGGGAAAAGATAAAAAAAATTAAGCATTATGTGTGTCCTTTGTATTTGCATTTTAAACTGACATGTTCAGGAGGAAAATTTTTTCAAATAAAAAGTACCCAAGCAACACTGCCGCCTAATATGCACACGAGAAGTCGTCACATAGTCATCAAGTACTGAAAACTTGCCAGAGGAAAAAATACTAAATGCACGTAGGATCCGGTTTATGATAGACGCAAATCAAAATCGCACACCAGACAATCGCGAAGAAGAAGTGGAACTCGATTTCCGAACCATGACTTGTAACAGCCCGACTTCTCGACACAGCCTGTACCGTCACACCTGGGGTGAACATCTACACTAAGAACAGCTAGCTGCCATTAGCAGTCCGTGACCACAGTCTGTCGAAAGGCAACCAATTCTCGCTGGTTATCTGGGCCCGACTGACGCACCAGTTGCTCCAACCTTAGGCTGCCACTCTATTCGGGCTTACTCGCAGTGAGGATCCTTCAGAATACAGCGTGACAAGGGTTAGTAAACTTATTCGATTTCGTTTGACTTTGATTGGATCACCTTACATATTCGGTTCACGCTGTTCCCCCAGCCCTTAAGCTTATGGGACCTAGCAGTGAGGTAACCGGCACACAATCGTTGTGTGACTTGTCACTGAGTGTTGAACGTATCTGACAAGTTACGATGAAAACCGAAATTTTTTCCTGAAAAACGAGGTGAGGTGGGCGCAACTAGCAAATGCTTTGGATAGTGCAACTACAGACTGTAAGTTGTGCACGGAGAATAGCGTGTAGTAGAGATCAGTCTCACAATGACTTCCAGTTTTTCAATGGTCCTCAGTAGTTTGATCAGATTGGGGAATTTTTAGCTGAGGTTCCATCGTGCAATTGATGCTCATCTACACTGAGAAGCCGAAAAGCACTGCATAGCTGTCATCTTTACTGCAAATCTCCTGAGAGTTTAGAACCCGAGATCACGTGGATTGTAGCTGAAACGCCTAATCGTTTGTCCACGATCGGCTGATCAGTGTGATCAAATCGCACTTTTCAATGGATCCTCCATGCGAATAGGTCGCTTTCGATTCTTCAGAGAAGGAAAACAATATTTGGAACTCGCCAAATTCGACGGGGACATTATGGTGGTTATGCACTAGCAACAATGTATTGGAAATGTACTGGAAACTTTGTAATCGGACTGAATTGTGACCTAAGCTATAAATAAGTTTAGCATGGCGTCCAAGGACATACAAATCCCAGTAGACTACTAAAACAACCCCATAGAAACGTAATTATCAATCGAGTTCTATTGGTGCCCATGCGGTATTCACAAGGTCGCCATCTAAAACGTGACCAATTGGGGCTCGATTTTACTTGCCATCGTAGATGTATAGTTTGTGGAACAACGTGACTTACTTCGCCGATGGACACATTGTGACACTATCATTCTAAAAGTCGCATTCACCAGTGTGCCAAGATGTGAATATTGATATGGATGGCAACTAAACAGTGGATGTAGCCCTCTGGATTCGAAAGATCTAGTAGTGTTTTATCGCCTTTCCGACGACAGCTTCCATTTTTCAACGAGCACCGGATGTTGCGTTCAAGGTGTTTGTGGGCGAGTTTCATGGAAACATACATAGATCCCAACCCACCTACTCAAAATGTACAAGTCCGGGAAATAGGGGAAGGTATTGAACTGGTATGAGATGGATAAACATAAGCTGAGTAGCACGTGGGCTGGAAAAGGGCATTTTTCTTGGAGCAAAGTTAGACTATTCCTTCATAGGTGGTGCCTGTGGGCGCTAGTCTGAGTTTTGAATGTATCCCACGTCCCACCCCTCACCTTCATTGGTGCGCACAGGTCGACCAACGCGAGAACAGACATTCAGCCTGGTCACCAGGCTTTTAACCGGTTTGTCAAATGATACGGTGTGAGTACCGACCACCGATAGTTGAATTAGGGGTAGAATATCTCCTCTTAGCACACCCTGGCACCAGTAGGTCGGGCACATAACCTTTAAAGTTGTGTGCCGCCTCCTGATGGTGATTATCAATCTTTTTGGAATCCGTGAGACACATCAGCGTGTTGGTTGGATAAGACTTCAAAAGTCTGTGGTTGGGTATCTGAGTGGACGAGTATTGTGAGACCGGAATGGAGAAACCCATGTCAAAATGTTATCCGTACGCTCACTGAGATCATCGCAAGGTTATTCTTAGATGCTTTTTGAATAATATCGGCAGGATACGTTTCTGGAAACCCCCCAGTAAGAGACTAGCATTGGTGACTCATCTTCGAAATTTCGTCAGTCCATTCAAGCGAGTTTAGTCTCCGAAACTACGGTTCACTGATCGATAGAAGTGCACCCCGTTGTATTCATTCGTAACAGAAATTTCAAGAAAAACACAGCTAGTCCCAAAATTCTGTGCGACATCTCATCTCACTCTGTAGGATAAAAAAACTCTCAAAGTACGGACGGTTCTGCCAGAGCTCAGTTTGAATAACAAACTAAAAAATATAGAACTGGTTTTCCGTTTGTTTTCATTCAAGACAGCCTGTCTTAGGTGGGATATCCGGCACATAGACTACTTGTGAAGTGTGAACTCTAAAATTGAGTATTGTCGAAGCTAATGGACAATACTTTTTTATCGTTTGAGCAGTGTTCCAGAATACCGTTCGCTCTGGTGGATTCACTGAGCTTGATCTTTAATTTTTGAATGTCTTGTCAACATTCGAGCAAAAGGTTGACGATTCTCTGATTCGTTACTGGTCCAGTCTAGATTTTGCTGCGTTGTGATCGGATTTGTGCAACCCGACGAGCATGAGGAATGATACAGAACAGTCAAACCCACCTATCCATAGCTGCAACGGTGACTGCTCCTTAACTCTTGACGGGAAACTTGCCGATCAGAGGCCAGGCTCTGCGGATAAATTGTTTAGCCTTGTCGCCTGGAAAGCGCACCTTGTAGAGCCCACCTAGTTGAAGCCATAGTGAACAATTTTACAGCACTCTTCCAACCACTCAGTTAGCTAACTTGCAACACGGGCACATCTTACCGAACTAAATCGTTAACTTACTGAGTTTCTCTTCCTGACTTTGCTTTCGTCCATGCACATCATCGTCTTCAGGTTCTACGCGGTCACTCCCTTTGTCCGGTTCGTCTGTTTGTCCAACGTCTACCTGAATTTCCTCACCGACAGTTGGGGATACACCTGGGATCGCTTCGTCAACCATGGCATCCCTGTCCTCTTTTTCCACCTCCTCTTCAACAATCCGACTGCCTGGTAACGCTTTAATAACGAATATGGTGGATTTAAAATGTTCATGGCAACAAAACTGAACGAACTACGATCAGGACATAACATTCTGATGATGGGGTTCTCGTCCGTTTGATAGAGATGAACCCTCTGAGCGATCCACTAGATTACCCGCTGCTCCAAGCTGGGAAGAAATAGCCTACTGACTGTAAGGCTTTTATCCCCAGAATGGGCAGTCCTGAAATCTGGAAAAAATCTAGTCAGGGTTTGGAGGCTTACATTTCGCGAGACAAAGAATTGGTTGCACAGCACGACAAGGGCCTGAAAATATTGGGTATATAGTCCTTGTTAGTTGGGCTGTTTCATCCTGATTTAATGTTTCGGTTTTAATGTTGAGGTAATCGAGCTGACTTCAATATGTTGGAATTCCGTCACTCAAGTTCCGGTATTACCTTGAAGGTCGTTGAATTAGAAGAAATCGCATAACTAGGCCGTCTGCGAGTGGCTCCCCGCTGACCTATGCATTGGTGGTGTAGGAACGATGAGGCGTTTTGTGAGACAACGGGTATCTGCTTGCTCATCAAAACAACAAGTCCTTCCTTCCCAGGAATGGCTGGTTCGATGCGATGATCCCTCAAAGCGCACTCTCGATCATCCACCAGTTTATCTTGGCGATTAATCCTATGTTGGACTAGACCTATTAACAGGAGATCGATGCGTAGTGGAATACAAAATTCAAGGTTTTACCGCCTACAATTACACCTATGTTGATTCGCTAGCTCTGATTTTGATTTCACCGGGAACCCTAATGCCTGCTGCATGAAGCATCATATCATAAAATCATTCATTATCAGTCACACCTTCATCATCAACAGCAGCGGCATTTTCACCATCGTAATCAAGAGTGAAAGCAACGCCAAGCTGTGCGCGCACATTTTCTCCGCTATTTTGGCTTGGGCAACTTAAGGGTGTAATTTATCCTTCCGACGCTTAGTTCAGCGACACAGCACCTCTTCAGCCATACATTTCGGGCGAAACCTGCAAAACACTCGCCTGGTTTCTTAGGCATAGTCTTCTGCCTCATACAGGAAGCTAAACAGCTCGATCCCGGGTTGTACTCTGATACTGGCAGTGTCTGTCAAATTGGCACAACTTTTGGCCTACTTAATTTGTCTTCACTTTCTGTCCATACATAGGACGACCCCGGAACAAGCATGCAACATCCGATTACGATCAGTCAGATCTCATACCAACTGCAGTATGTCCGCATATTACAATATTTTTACCTGGTGAGGCAATGACTCGCGGTGTGAACAACGCATCCCTGGAACTGGAAGCTGTCCACTGCTTGGAGTGCAGCAAACTTTCATAGCTACATCTTTGAGTGGATGCACTTAGTTCGGTACAAGTCTGCATCTAAAATACAGTTTTACTCTTCTCATAGATTAGTCCCATCATAATTAATCCGGTTAGCAAAGTGCTCAGCTATTGTGATTGGGGCAGGTGGAACACTCTTCAGTGTCCAGCACGGTGAACTAAGTCACCTTTTGAGTACTGATCACTGTTTGAGTTGTTTGGGGTGAAATTGGACGAACTCGAATGTGGCTAACTTAAATGAATTTGTATTCCCTAAATAAATTTTGGAAAAAATGGGATAGAGCATCCCATTCTCTGAATGATTTCCCATAGGTACTGAGTTCATCTCTATCTGAGAGGCTAACCCCGAACAATTTAGCTCTCGGTCGATTCGACCGACAAGGAACCCAGATCCCAGTAAGCTCGATACCTTTCCAGTTCATAATACAACTTGCTCTTTTTGATTTTCGCTTACTCGCTTAAGAGATTTCTGATTCAAACTTCCTTGATTCCAGGCAGTATGTCACCCAGTTTAAAACGATTGCACCGTCACATCCTTCAGTACCGTCAAGAGTTCCATCAGCCAGCCTCCCATTTAAAATTAGATTTTTCCACTGCGCACAATCTCAGGTGACCTCGCATTCTGAATACTAACTCAGAAAGGCCAAATTACTTTTTTCGTTGAAGCAGTCGATGACTGCAAACATAGAGAGATTAACCAAAGCATAATCATATATAAGTATATAACCAAGTTATATAAGTTATAACCAAGCATCAAGTTATGTGGGACCAAACCGAGGTTGGGCCAATCACAATCGAATACGACTGAACTTTGACAGAAGCACTAGAAAAGTAGCTAGAGATACCGTTCTGGCTTAGTATAACATCAAGGCTCTTTATCTTCAAAGTATGTTGTCCATTAATTTAACCACCACTTCCGCAACATAACAAATGCCATCACGAGCCTTATATTTTTTCCCGTCATTCCTACTCATTCGTGCACAAACCTTATGGTTGCTTTGGCTAGGTTGGATCCCCAAATACACTTCAGGCAACGGGGTAGTACGAGGGATTTGGTTTCAATGGTTCTAGTATCAGAAAATGTTTCAGACAAACCTGACCGACTCTGGTATTCGGTTTAAGCGCCCAAACCAAATTTTCCATTCCTTCAAACATTTATGCTGACTTTGTGCTACTTATCAACAACCAGTAGTACCACTTCATCGAGAAATGTTTAAGAGCAGCTGTCAGCTGGTGGTGCCACAAGACTCACGTAATGCTTCAAAGGCACATATGGTCAAGTACAGAGAACCAAACTCGATAGGGTATGGATGATTGGACATAAGCGGCGTTCTACTTCAGGCAAGTAGGGAAAATCCTCAGGTTTATCATTAAAACCCCAACTCGACATATTCAAAATACCTATAAGTAGTTACGGGTTTGTACTGTGTTATTTCCGCGTCACTCGTCTATACAGCGCTTTTCCTGTCCTCTCACTCCAGTTGGTGTTCTCGACCTTGGCAAGGTTGTGATTCCTGACTTTCCACATGTGATCATGCTATCACGTCTTAACAGCGGAACACGTTTTCAACTTTCATAAAGCAAACTACGGACGAGGTCGTTGACAACATACGAGTGATTTCGCACTTCTTCGGGCTCATCTGGAAGACGCAGTTCCTGTTTTCCTCTCAATCAACCTTATGTCCTAGTTGGATACAAAATTGCGTGGAACTTGACAAATACACTCATTTGCATATCAATCTGGTTTGCACGGGAGACCCACCTGAATTCCTCATGTATGATATACCTCAACTGAATTTGCTGTATAAAGACCGATCATGCTTCATTTGATAAAACATTAGAGATATCGCAGTGTACTTTGGTTTGAAAATGAGTTTGTTTGTAAAATTTCATGCAACTTATGTTCCACTAAAACACAAGATTCACTGCGGGGACTGCGCCTACCTGATGAACCCTAATAAGGGAGAAACCGGGTTTTCGAAGAGATTCCAGCTGCTTTGTGAGTAGTTTACTTTGTGAAAATATGCTGCGGTATCTAAAATGTCGTACGAACTGAGTTGGCTTTTGTGTAGCTCACACTCCTCTTGTGTTATGAATCAAATGATTTCTTAAACAACCATATATTCCCTTGTATGATAGGCAAATGAGCCAGCGAAATCATGTGTGTTGGGGTCTCCAGTATAATATCGTTCACTTAGCAGTATAACAGATACACCCTAAAAGTCCTCCACAAATGACTAGATGACTTACAGCTATGCTCTTCATAAGTTTGGCTGCGCGACTCCATACCGCTTTGTCCAGACTTGGTGTGATCACTTCCTTCCCCTGTTTCGGAGGTTTGTCTGACTGGTGCAGTTATTCCTGGCACCTCAGCCAACACAGGTTGTACCCCTGGGATTTCTGTCCAAACTTCTTCCTTCGCCTCAGTTATTAGAGGCCTATCTAGAGCTGTAGAAAAGCAAAAAATTCATGTACACATATGTAAAAGTGAGTGGGTTGGAAACGCACGAAAACCTGGTTGAAAGGCAAAAGTTGACACAAATTAACATGGTAACTACTACCTTAGTGAGCTCTCAGTTCAGGTACAGTACTCGCTCAATTCTCCGGAATTTCGTCATTTAAAATGTTTTTCTGATTACTAGCCGTAGTGATTTCAGGCGATGGGTGCCCATTTCATGTTCCGAGGGGATACGGATAGATCAAACTTTGACGGGGGGTTCTGGGCCATTTTAAAGCAATTCACACAATTCACTACCAACCTGTGAGTAGCCAAGAAGGCCAAGTCGGCCTCTCGTTTGGCAGAACTTAATGTCCTGGTAACAAGTTGGGCTCTGAAAAATCAAATTAAGCCAACACCAGTGGATTGGAACCACATATGCGACTCAAAAGTGAATTCCTAGTTCAAATGGCCCGCCGAGATGCATGGTTATAGGAAGGGCTGCCGTCGCCCTTTTTAGTACGTTGCTTTTCAATTTGAACTGGTACCAGACCTCGTCGATATCGCATAACCAACGAGTGGGAGTATCCCATGTTTTGCCACTCCATGCCCGTTAATTGCGCTGTTGCCCAACAAGACAGGCAATCGTGATGCTACAGCATACGGTGAAAAGCCAATGTCAGTAATCACTCCCATTTTGTAGGAAATCACTAAACCAGTCAGCCTAGGTTGTATTCATCAATGTTGCCTGAATTCCGTATCGATGTTTTGCAAAAAAAATATTCTCAGAACTTTCAAAATCGCGGTGCCTCTGACTTTGTTCTTCCCGTGGAGTCGTGGGGCTAAACTTCCTTAAAAAACATCTACCTCATGATAAAACAGTAAACCCTTACTGTCTAGACGTAACACACTATTATTGTTCACAACCCACGGACCGGTTTTGCCCTGTTGGGGCTCATCAAGTAGACCCAGTCCCCAGGTTTCCGTCAACATTTAAACTCAGATTGGTCAACCCTTACTGTCTAGACGTAACACACTTATTGTTCGACAACCCACGACCGGTTTTGCCCTGTTGGGGCTCATCAAGTAGACCCAGTCCCCAGGTTTCCGTCAACATTTAAACTCAGATTGGTCAAATTTCCACAAATTTTGACAGAATTCTCACCTATATCTGGCAGAATCATAAACGAGGGATTCAGCCGGATTCAGTTGAGCAAAGCCTCTTGTTCAACAACCTGAAAAACTAGCGCGAGAGGTGACTGAAGGCGGTGCATGGTGATATATCTCACCGAACTCGATTGTGCGATGGTTCGGGTATGACCACCCGCTTGATGTGCTCAGGTAGGTGGGAAGTGACGGAGCTGCAGCACGAAGACCAGTGTGTGTGATTTCTAGTCTTGTCTCATAAATAATGTTTGTACTAACGTCTTCCCCTTGAATTATCCAAAGTTGAATTTGAGGACAACAACAACTCCTTGCGAAGGTATGCCAGTTTCTCCGCATCGACAGCCTTTGGGAAAACACCATACAGTTCACTCTGCCTGGTAACCTTATCTTCTCCGCATCATCTCTCTGTCTCTCCGTAGTTTTGTGTCATTTTAGACAGGGGACAACTAGATATAACCAATCAGGCTAAGATGAACAGGTGAGTTTTAGGAGAATAAAAGGAATAATACGAGTCGGTAACATGTGGCATCCGGTTTTGTCCTTTCAGGAAATTAGCTATTCAGTTAGGAAAACGGTCTTTGTCAATGCCCTCGTGTCACAGGACATTACTCTGTGGTTTATGCCGTCAAGTGCCTGATCGGGGCATGACGATATCTTATGTCACATTGTTGTTACCTCAAAACTTGTCAAACCTGAATAGGTAGGTACAAAACTATATTCAGGATATCGCAGTCCAAGTTGATACACAGATGGTCCAATCTTTTCCTTCGCTAAGTTTTCAACAGTCTTGACCAAGAATGCTGTCAACCACACGACGTAGGGGTCGCGTGTAACGTAGGCAAAAGTTTTGTGTGAAAAACTCTGAGGATCCCCCATACCCATTTGCACCACACTTTAACCCTAGCTCTAGAGGCATGCCACAAGAAATAGAGACATTCTTGTGCCACCCAAAAATAAAGACCTATGATGCAGTAGGATCGCGTTTCCAAATAGACTGGTGGGATTACCAGCTACAAGTACCGCAATGGGAACAACGTCCGTGTATGAAATCCATCTTCACATTCTGCCTAACACTGAATAGCTTCGTGATATTGCACTGGAGGCCCAAATTAGGGACGATTAACTACTTCATCGGGTGACCTCAACTCAGATATTGAATTCTGTCCCGATGATCTGCACACTTGCTGCTTTTGCATTCGTATGACACGCTTTTTCATTAAAATCTTATTTCAGCTTGACAATACCAACTCCATCGATAAGTCCGCTATTAACGCCTAAAAATATGTCTCTGTTTAGTCAATCTGAGAGACAGTGTTCTATCTAGATCTAGATGGTAAAACATGTTCTCTTCGTGTGGTATTCACAACCTAATGACAACTTACCACTATGGTCTTCGTAACTTTGCCTAGGTGACTGCACCTCGCTTTTGTCAAATTTTGTATCAGAACTCTCTAATTTTTTCTCATCTGTATCTACAAAAGGAGCGAACGCTTCACCCAATGGTTCTTCTGCACCGTAAAGTGGTGGTCCTTCCGGGAGCTCTGCACGAACTTTATCATGTCCCTCGACTTGCTGACCTTTGGAAACCTCTTCCGGCTTTCCAACGAAAGGCTCTGTGTTGTAAACAGGTGGTTCCTCCGAGAGCTCTACAGGGACTTCGTCTTCTCCCTCAACTTGCTGACCTTTATAAACCTCTTCCGGCTTTCCAACGAAAGGCTCTGTGTTGTAAACAGGTGGTTCCTCCGAGAGCTCTACAGGGACTTCGTCTTCTCCCTCAACTTGCTGACCTTTATAAACCTCTTCCGGCTTTCCAACGAAAGGCTCTGTGTTGTAAACAGGTGGTTCCTCCGAGAGCTCTACAGGGACTTCGTCTTCTCCCTCAACTTGCTGACCTTTATAAACCTCTTCCGGCTTTCCAACGAAAGGCTCTGTGTTGTAAACAGGTGGTTCCTCCGAGAGCTCTACAGGGACTTCGTCTTCTCCCTCAACTTGCTGACCTTTATAAACCTCTTCCGGCTTTCCAACGAAAGGCTCTGTGTTGTAAACAGGTGGTTCCTCCGAGAGCTCTACAGGGACTTCGTCTTCTCCCTCAACTTGCTGACCTTTATAAACCTCTTCCGGCTTTCCAACGAAAGGCTCTGTGTTGTAAACAGGTGGTTCCTCCGAGAGCTCTACAGGGACTTCGTCTTCTCCCTCAACTTGCTGACCTTTATAAACCTCTTCCGGCTTTCCAACGAAAGGCTCTGTGTCATAAACGGGTGGTTCTTCCGAGAGCTCTGCAGGAACTTCATCTTGTCCCTCAACTTGCTGACCTTTAGAAACCTCTTCCGGTTTTCCAACGAAAGGCTCTATGTCGTAAACAGGTGGTTTCTCCGATAGCTCTACAGGGACTTCTTCTTGCTCATCAACTTGCTGACCTCCAGAAGCCTCTTCCGGCTTTCCGGTATGTGATTCTGAATGGTCATTTTGCGAGGATAAGACATTTAGTTGCCCCGTGACCATCTGTTCGACACCCGACTGTGAAGTGAAAACGAGATCGTTTTCCACATGGCTTTCTTTACCCTTCACTGCCGATGGATCGGTGTTTACTTCAACCTGATCAGGCATGATATCCGACTGGGCTACTTCGGGTTCCTTACAAGATTCTGCTGCCATTGCCAACCGTGGCGTTTGTATCATCATCGTGTCTTTTGGCCTGCTGACGTGGGCTGTCAATTCTATTTGTGTATCCTCTGCCACATCCAAGTCAGCCATGATCCGAAGACTTAATCCTGAATTTGTTTGAGGCTGTATTTGTTCCAATCCACCCATTCCGGAAGCCTGATTTTCTATTTCTTGCAGCGCGACGGACTTCGTTTGGTCTACACCTATGTCGGATGCCTTCACCTCCCCAACAATTAGATTTGTGGGTTCTGGGCCAGCACAAATCGATCCTATCGCTTGTTGTAAAGTCTGCTCACGAGTGATCGTCTGACTTCCTATAATTTCCACCACGCTTCCATCCTGTGTTGTTGGAGGTTCAGATTGTCTCTCTTCAAGTGTTTGTTTCTGCTCATTCATCAGAGTGGGAGTGTCATGCTTTCTTGATTCGGTCGATGACGGCAAGGCTTGATGTACTGTGGCTCCATCCTGCTTAGGTACACTTCCGAGGCCAGAAAACCATTCGCGAATGACTATGGATTGCATTTGATTTGCTTGAGGTTGGGTCGTGTTATCTGTTACAGGGCTAAACTTATTAGTATCATCCTTGATTTCATCAAGCACACCAGTTTTCCCCACTGGAGAGTCCACCAGATTTGTTTGAACGCGACTGTTTGTTGTGACGTGCCATTGTTTGGCCACATTTTCTTTATCGGATGATGACTTAGCTTTCGGTGTACTAGTGGGTGACACTACTCCCAGTTCGCCTAAAGGCACGGGACTTACTCTATTTTCAACCAGTAGATTGCATTCAGGTGAAGAGTTGTCAAACTGTACCCATGTTTGGATATTAATTCCTGGGCCATGGTTGAATAACGTTGACTTGGCTAGATTACCTACTTGGAGTGACATAGAAACTGTAGGTATCGGGCTAGTTGCAGGCACTCGTTCTGTTTGATAAGGGGATGTCTGACGATCAGGTTCCTGATCGTGGGGCGATGATTCATTGTTCTGCTGTTCAAAAATACACATTGAAGATAAGCGAATAGGCCAAGCGACCACGGTATCATGCGATACCACAACCTTCTCCAACAAATCTACTTGAATTTCTTTCGTTAACCTGGCACGTCCTTCATAACCCATGTGCTGTGGTTCGTATCTCGGAAATTGACTTTCATGTGTAATTCCAGAATTCATCCCATCGTTTTCCAAAGGTATCTTGTCGGTCTTTGGTTCCGCTACCTCTATACCTTCAGCTGTTTTCATTTTTAGACTCAAACTCTCGTGTGAGAGGCAAGAGAATAAAAATAGTCACTTTTGTTCTGTATATGTCCACCCTAATCCAGTAGATCGATTCTTGGCTCTTACCTGATGTCGTTTGAAAGCAATGCGATCGATTGTGGCCCAGTTCTGCTCAACACTGCACACGGTAGTAGTCAGAGGCGTATTCTGTGTTCACTTAGAAGAGTTCTTATGAACTGGTGTCGACAAAAAATGTTCCCAATCCCTTAATTCGTGACGTATCAACTGGCGGTTCATGTGAATCATTCGTCTCGACGGTGATTCAGTTCATTGGAAAATGCGTACCAAGGTTGGTTGCTGAATGTTCTGGAAGCCAAATCGGAACGTCGAGCGCTAATCCTACTGGCCTTAACTTCTCATATAATGGGTCCTGATTACTGGAAATTATTTTCGAGTAGTGATTTCCAGCACATGACCTCCGTTGACATTCGTTTTTTGGTCACTCATTCCGTAACTACGGACAAAAACTCATCTGAGACTAGCATTTTCGGTGACTTTTCTCTTTTAAGCTACTGGGGATTATGGAAGTTAACGACGTTGGGACTATTTGTGCTAGAATTGGTCTGGGTAGTTTTCTGTATGCGCCTCTCAGTGGACTTTACTTTCAGTTGATTTACTTGGGACCATTGAGTGCAGTCAGCCGCTTATACAAATGGTTCTTTTACAAATGAATTAAGTACAGAGGTTAGATGGAGGGAGGACTCTACACATTGCTTAGCCCAAGGTATTTTTTCCAGAACGGGGCAAAGTAGAAAGAGATTCTGAAGTTTCATCTTCCCACTACTATACACCATATACTATCAGTATGTCACAAAAATATAGAGAAACAAAACACCAACAGCGTGCTTCTTCAAGCTGATGAATGGGTTCTAAGGGCTAACGACCTGTTTTTTATACAAAAATATTGGAGTTGTCCTTCATACTTCTTTTTATATAAGCTTGAGTCCAAAACTTCAATTCAATTTTTCCACATAGTTTTCTAAATCCTCAAAATGGCCCGGTCAGTTGTCCGTATTCCACGTGATCCCAACTAGCTCTCAGTTTCGCAACACACTCCTCAAATTTCAGACAATTCCAAGTACCTTGCAAGTTTCTTTCGATTTTCTACTACACCCTCATGTTCCGGCCTTCAAAATCCAACATAATCTAACATGACATTCTTCGCATATACAGCACCGAAAACTTTTTAGGCCGTCCAATATGGTCCAGAATCGAAGCCCATGAAAATCGCTTTCTTCTCATTTCGCCTACATAATCATGCTTCTTCATGGGACCAGGCAGAAAATTCAGCAACATAGGTTCAGACCTGCAGTTTTACGAGCTTTCATCGATACAGTCGTTGATATATTCCAGGGGTGAGGGTACTTAGGCTTTGTAATGTCTTGGAATGACTAATGAAAATACCGAACAGTTAAAATGCTTTCTGGTTGTCTGCTTTCACCATAGTCATGAGGAGCCTCAGCTGGAACCTAGATACGACAGTTCGACTATTAAGTTTCCTTATAGTCGCTACGATTGAATGATGATGGGTCTCATAGTGATGCTATCTTAGGAACCACAGCCCAACATCGAATGAAGACTGTTTGTTGTACCCCGTTGATGAGAATTCCCCTCACTACAAAATCAGCATAAAAATATCATGCAGCGGATAGGTTATGTTCTGTTATATACGATGACTCGCCCGGGGACACGGAGCTGACAGGATGGAGTCCTATTTCCTGTTTGCAAAATGATTGAACACTTTTACCCTGATATCACGCACGCATGTACGGGTTAGTTTGTTCCTGAATGATGTTGGCCATCATTGTCATTGACAGCATGACATCGGTGTTCAACACCGATGCTTCGCTGCCGTACAACCATGTTTTATTTGAAAGCCTTATTGTAAAGAAGAGAGTAAAGGTGAACGGGAAACGGATTTAGTGCTACCTTACTACAAGCATTCAGGGGTGCCTACACCTCCACTCATGCAGGCAATCTGGATAGAAACTGACGACGAGAATGCCACCAACATCAGATGGAAGCCACATCTCAGGCACAGTGAGGATCACACGGTCCCCATCCTACCACAGACAGCACCCAAACGTTTTGTAATCCCCTTCATATTCCTCCGCCAGGACTTCTGACACTCCAAATCGGGCATGGAAAACAGCACTCCTTTTGGTAAACGATGGTTAAGCATAAACAACCGATGTCCCAACCAACGCAGCTTCTGGTGCTGGACACATTCTTCAATGGAAGTACCCGTTGCACAACCTAAAACTCTCTTTCTAATTGCCTCGTTATGGATACGCCGATACCAACCCACACGATCCATGGTTCTGAGATAACGATTTTCGAACACCTGAAGACGTCTCAGTTCCGCCGCCAGAAGAGGCCACGTTTCACAGTCATACAACATAATTGTCCGTACCGTAACCTGAAACACACGTTCCTTGAAATTCAGGGATATGGCGCTTTGGAGCCATAGGTAGCTCAAATTAGCAACCCGTAACCCGAACCTTGCGGATTCGTGCACTAATCTCATCTGTCAAACTACAATCACAACTAATACAACTTCCAAGAAATGTAAAACGCTCCACAACTTCCAGTACCTCTCCCTGGATTGCAAATGGCATGTTCAGTGACTGCATGTCCAGGAACATTACCTTACACTTTGTGAGTGCAAAGTGCATACCAAAGGACGGTATGACTCTAGTTACTTCATCCAAAAATACCTATGGCTTCTCCTCTTCGAAGATGAGAACAATGTCGTCTGCATATTCCAGATCGACAAGCTTTTCTTCACTGGCTATTTGAACACCGGGGTTTTGGAAACCTTCCAGCGTTCGTCTCATGAGTTCGTTGATCACGAAGTTAAACAGGACTAGGTAGAGTGAGCATCCCTGACGGACAACACTTCCAGTACGGAAGTCTTTGAAGAGACCGCCGAACACTCTCACTTGTCCGGAAGTCTAGGATTACAAAGAGTTTATTAGGTTCACAAACCTCCAGGTCGTTCCTCGGTGGGCAGACGTATCAAGCAAAACACACCGGTCAACTGAGTCGAATGCGCCTTGGATAACCGAAGAATTGTGGGTCGTTTATACGTATGGTGTTGTTCTAACACCCGACGAAGTGTGAAGATTTGGTCGACGCAACCCCTTCCAGGCCGCAATCCTGCTTGCTACTCTCGAGTCAGTGTTTCACGAACCACCGTAAGGCGATGAAGCACACACCACACTCACTACGAGCCCCACAGTTGTGTGGGATAGTTTCTTTTTTTCCAAATGCAAGCAAACAGAACAGAGAAGCGCTGACTGAGGAATTCGCCCCCATCTTTGAACAATGTGGGTGGGAGGTCGTCCGAACCAGAGGCCTGGAGGCGCTTGAGAGAACATATGCAGTCATACGCCTGCGAGACCATAAGCGGTTTCACGTTCACCGTTCAGGGTTCTGCGTCACCTGTGGGTTCCAAATAGAAATCACAGTGACGTGTTTAAAGACTGATTTCGGAATGCTAAAAAGGCTGTATTAACGAACACACATGATGCATCCTTATATATCCTCAGTGTTATCAGGTGGTGGCTAGCAGGAAGAGATTTAGCACACACAGACATCGATTTGACAAGTGCTGCTGCTGTCAGGGATGGACCAAACGAAGAAAGTATGGCAATAACTTCCGGAAAGCCATCGGCCTTGTTTTTCATCGAAATTCCCTCGAAAGAAGTCGCATGCTTTAGTTAGAGGTCTGGAACCGTGTATGACAGAACTCGTGAAACTGGCGATTCAGATAAGGAATTTCTTGATCTGACCTCGTTCCACCTAACGACGGTAGCTAACCGAATGCTAATGTCAGCACTAGTTTCTTCTCCCACAAATGTCTAGTTCTCTGTGTCATATAGAGCACCGCCAAACGCGCAACATCTGATCGATTTGAGGGGTGGTTTTCAAGTTGATGCTGAAGATATGAGTAGACTGGCGTGCGAAAATCCAAGAACATTCTTGTCAGATATGAAAGACCACATCGGCATTGGTGCTGCTAGGAGCAAAAAACAGATACACAACCGGATCACATACAGGTTTAGCCAGGAATGTGGGCTTGCGTTTCCCCTCAGCGTAGAATTTCCAAAGATGCTGCTGATGCCGCAGTTTTTGCTTTTCGTGTGGACAGTGAGAGCTGGTTTCAATAAAATGATAGATTTGTCATTGAGTCTCGAAAAAGGGTGAGTTACGGTGAGACTCTAGTAGCTACAGTATAATCAGAACTTTACATATATACATATATATGATATGGTATAATACGAATATATATCATCTGGACGCGCTATATAAGGCTGCCAATGCATCAGCTGTGACAATATCTGACGTATTGTAGTACACTATCTAGATAGGACGGTCGAAGAACGTCGTAAACGCGAGATTCAGGTGACATTAATTTGAATCTTGAGTTAAGATCAAATTTACTCATAAATGATTGTAGTTCCGGAATCGCGTACAATTTTGGTTTAAATAGAACATAAGATTGCCGGAAACCCAGATACTGTGCCTACCTAGTGAACCTCAAACAAGCATATAGGTATTGCACTACTCATAAGGTTGCTGAAACTTCGTCGATATCTCGAATATCGTAGCGACTGAAACATGGGGCGGCCTAGTGCAGCACATTCAGTTACCTGGAAACATCACAAACGAGAGATTCAGTTGGGTTCCAGGTGGGTCTCTCGAAAAACCAAATTAGTTTGCAAATGAGTGTATTTCTCTAGCCTCAAACAAGATTAAACCGTTCATGGATTTTGAAGAGTTTTCAACTGCCTTATAAGTAGTGTATTCCGTCTAGATATAGTAATTATTTCCATTTGCAAGTGGTGGCCTCCCACCGAAGCTGATGCAGCTGTTTATGATGGTCGAAAGCTCCTTGGCTTCATCTCAGCCAATGCAATTACCAGCACCGTCCAGAGAGAAAAAACGCTATGCAGTTTTATCAAAGTTAAGAATACACCCGATCGATAGTTTTGACAAACTTTGCCACCGGAGTACGATATCAAGTTTCGTGTGTACCATTTCCGTTTGACCTTTTCCACCGAATTGTGTAACTTCCCTGAGGTTTCTTTAAAGTGCTGTAAGTCTCGAACAGCTCAACCCATTTGGCAAATGCCGTAGGCTCCGTGATGGGACAAAGCATCGACAGATGTCCCTCAATCTGGTTGAAGGCATTCCCTCCATGGACCACATTTATGTGGACGTTCCTGCAGTAAGTTCTTGTTATCTTCACGAAATACACTCATCTGCATACCGAGTTGGTTTTAGCGGAGAACGCAAGTGAACCCCAGCTGAATCTTTCGTGTACGGTATTTTCCAACTGCACGTGCCGCATGAAGGCCGCTTCATGTTATATTTGGTACGATACTCAGGAAATCCCAGTATGTTTCCTTGAAACAGGCTCCAGCAACCTTATGTTGGTGTGTACTTGGCGAATTTTATACCGTCTGGGTTCAAGTAGAAAATAAAGTTGACTGAAGGGAAGCTTGGGGACTACGCCTAATTGATGAGCCACAAGGAGGGGGAAACCAGTTGTAAGCCGTGTAGGAGTTTTCAGAAGCCATAAGAGTAGCTTCCTCGTCGTGTCCTTGTTTTGAACTAGGTTCGTCTCGCCTGAAAAAAGGAAACATTTACATCCGAAGTATTTGGACTCCCCTGTCTTGCTTCACTATGACGAAAGTCAGTTGTTCTGGGAATCAGTAGAGTAGCCTTATTGTTGTCGCTAAGTTGAACGTAGGATCTGAGCTGAGTTTAATCACAAATGAACGGTCTGTGTTCAGACCTTACCTTGTTTTGAATACGCAAATCGGGCTACTTTCTACGACAAACAAACTGATGTGAATGGTGACAGGACAAAGCTGTCAGCTCGTACGCTGGATCTTTCATCTCTACCAGAGTACTAATCTGCATGTGTAGGTCCCCTTTCTCACTTTCTGGAGGATTTTTCTGGGATGGTGCTTTCGCGTAGCAGGACGTTAGATGCAAAAACTAACTCCTTCAAGACGCTTCTTAGAAAGGGCTTCTTATTACCAGGGGGTTAAAAACCTTGATACTTAATCCTTTCTAACCATAACGTGTTTGATTTGTAGAATGACCAAAGAAATCATTCAACCAAACAAAACTTTAGGATAGGCTGAATAATTTCAGAGCTGAGTGGCACTCAGACGTGAGAACTCACAGTTGCCAAAATCCGGGGTTCCAAACTTTTCTGGTGTGCTGGCCGGTGCATGCTGGCCCCGAATTTCATCTTTTAAATGAGAGCATGCCCGTTATTACTGAGCCCTGTGCTGTTCGAGTTTAACTTCTGGGTCTGGAGTGGGGGCGGTAGGTGATTCAGTTCATTGTTGTCCATTTCGTTGTACTTTGTTAGGGGTTTTCACTCAGAAACAGTGAGTGCAAAGTATTCCCATGCATCTGACACTTGGTACTTTAGAGCTTACACTGAAAGAGCCTGGTACGAATCCGAGCTATATCAGCTTATTCCAACGTTCAAGCCTTACCCATCAAGCCATTAACCTACCTTAGAATGATATTCATGGAAGAATTTCCGGCCATGGTCGCATTATCGTTCCTGTTCCTTATGGTCCAAATATACGCCCAAATCAGGGTCGACTCTTAATCATCAAGGTCCGCGACCCGGTCATAGGCATTTATATGCACATCAGGACCTATACAAAAATGAAGGCTATTTTGCCAGTATAACACGGTACACAGATGTTTAGGATCGGCCGCAAGATGAAGTAAAATAGTGTTTGCATATGAGCTTTGTGAATTGAAAGCGAATCGAAGAACACCATCGATGTCTCTGGAGCATTGACCGAATCTGGTGGGAACACCGGATCAGCAATTCTGAAGTACGTCGAATGATATTCGGGAGAAATAACTCACCCTCGATAGACGAACCGATCACACTACATAGGTTGCGCTGGCTTGGCCACGTGCTGCGTATGCCAGTCGACCGATTTCCTTGAAGGATGGAAGAGAGCCAGAGGCGGTCAAACAATGACTTGGCAGCGAAGTGTGAAGGCCATTACCAGCAAACTCAGCTGCGCTGGTCACTGCCGTCTACCTGAATGGGGACCGCGAGATCGACCACATCAATGGTTAGAGACATTGTCAGACATGGCCCAGTCGCGCCCTCAATGGCGCTCGTGCATCCAAGCTATTGCCTTCAATGGATAGCTCCTTTTCCAACCCCCGCTACTTGATAGCCCACTGACAGTGCTGGATTAATGCACCAATTCCCCCCCCCCCCCCCCCCAAAATCATCGGTGAACGAAACTGCGGCAGCTACAACCACTGTACGACAAGTACCCGGTTCTTACAGCTGACAGTGATGATGATGATGAGGATGTGATGGATGATGACGATGATGATGATTTCGGCCACCTAATGGGAGCTTAAACCCCTCTTTCTCAGTCCAGAGGGGTAGGCCTACCGGAGCTTGTCTGTCGCAAGTCCCTCAGTACCGCATGGATTACAAGAGTCTTTTTAATTTTAATCAAAAAGCATTGGACGATTGTTTCAGTCTTTACTATGGCGCTTGGCTGAGTGAGGGGGTTGAGTGTGGACCCATCCATTTAGTCAAAGAATTGAGAGGGCAGCTCCAAATAGACATCTAAGAACGCCTTTAGCTGTCAGGACAGCGATGTTCTGAGTCGAAATTCTGGTTCACTTTGTGGAAAGTGCACTCTCTATCCAATCGGTGCTTCGCCCTCAAACTACCGGTCATTGGATATGTCAACTGACAGTGACCACAGTGTGTGCATCCACTGAAGACTAGCTGGCTCGATGTATGCGCGTGACAGATTGCTTCTATCGATGGTACGTTTCACTCGCACATGATTGGTTAATTCCAAGGCCAGATGATTTCAATCAGAGGTCAGTGTGTGCGTAAATAACAGAAATGAGGACGCCTACCTGATGAGCTCCAAAAAGGGCGAAACCGGTCGTTGGCTGTCGAAGAGTTTCAGCAACCTTGTGAGAAGTTTCCTTCAAGAAATGAGGACGCTTTCCCATACGACATTTCGTTGTCTAACTCACACTGTCAACACTTTTAATTAGCTTAGAATGAAGAAGTCGAGCAAAACTTCTATCTGAGTCATCACCCTGGTAGCCCCTCAACACAAGACCACATGATAAGAATCGAGTCACTGAAGGATAAGTAGCGCTATGTGCTAGGCGCGAGTCAGTCGAACTGCTGACCAGTCGCCCATGCCCGAACAGTTCAATCTCCAACAACTAGCCGAGGGGTGGCGAGTTCGAATCGCCCTGGAAATACTCGCTACTAACGATCCCCAATACTGATGAAACAGTTGTACTTTTCTCGACCTCCCTCCAAGAACCAACTGAGTGGAAAACTCCAATTCCTACTAAAAGCAATTAAGAGATGGTCGGAAGGTCTGTGTGATACAGTGAATTCCTTTGGTCAGGACAAATCCTAATTCCCGGAAACCCAAACGAATTGCAGAAAAATTTCTGTTGCTACCAATTTTATTCCCGGTGACCAAAACGCCTCACATCATCAATGAACTAGAGGTAGCTTTTGCTTAAGGCGCCCAGTTATAGTTGAGAGATATTATCTGTGTTGGAAAGAATAAACAAATCGAAATGTGAGGAAGAAAAAGGTCAAGTCTGACATTAATTGATAGATCAGGTTGAAAAATAGCCGAGGCGCAGGTTTCTAGGCCTTGACTGACATGAAGAGGCAGAATCTTTGAGTGAGGTTATCTAAAATGTGATCCACTTTCCGTATCAGCATCTTTAACAAGTCGACGTGCAACAAGAAGTCCTTCGACGAAGAAAAGCCGAGAGATTTTCGAACCAATCTGATAATGCGTCTTGCTCACCTCTCCAGGAGTCCGTCCTTCGTGTCTTAGCATGGTATCTGTGATGTGTTTTACAATGACCAATCGAACGGCGTCTGAGAGTAGTGTGACTGAAGCAGCCTTGCGTCGATCTAGGACAGCTGTTTGGAGAAAAGCAAACCTTGGTTTTGTTCAAGGACAAAATTTGCACACATACAAAAGTGTAATAAATGTTGCCTAACTGTGGTTATACTACATGGCTTTCTACAGCCTTAAAAACTTAGTACAGTGCTTGGACTGGTCGAGCATTCCAAGTTAAGTCAACCAAGTTTCATATTCCACCGCTTCGGAGCAATCCACATCTGAGCCTCTCATTTTCTGTAATGAACGAAATCTAGGGAGTCCTCAAAAGGTCCGTGAAGAATCTAACGAAACAACCAAATGGATGTTTTGCATGGCTGATAATTATTTTTCGGCCCAAGCCGGTAAACAAGCAGCCAGTGGGGTATTTGAAGTAAAATTACCTGCAGACTAAGGGGATGTTCTGAAGAAGCAGTATAAGGTAGTCACTGTTGAGACACATCTGGGTCTCAAGCCATCACGATCAGTGTGCCTTCGACGAACGACCTCACTGAATGTGACCATTAGGTTCAGCCGTGAAATCGTAGCAGGCTGATTTCTGTTTTCGGATCGTCCTGCGGCACGAACAAAGCCGATGGGCCTCCGCCGCAAAACCTAAGGCCATGGTTTGCCCCGAGTTGTATGCGTATTCAACTGAATCCGCTGTACCAGTGTAAACCCAAGGAACAACTCTTGACAATGGACCGTTCGAAAGCCATTGGCATGCTCAGCCGGTGGCCCATAATTGTCAGACATGCCTACCTGGACAGTTGAGACCCACAGTGCATGAAAAGTTAGGTCTAGTGGCTTGTACCACTCTATCCAAAGCACACACACATAGATGGCTAATTAGTGCTGGTCACTCTTAGTTTGGTCTGTACAACAGTGATCACATTGGGTCATCTTTGGCATCAAAGCAAGCTGAGCGCTCCGCAATGTCCAGATCGTTGGTGCGAGACATCTGCATATGCGTGCATGAAACATAAACTTACAGTCATTATATGGCAGTTGAGTTCTGCCTCCTGTAAATAAAAAAATAGTATGATCGTTCAGTTGTAGCACCCTTTCGGTGCCTAGTTACCATGCCATCCAAAGGAAGCACGAGGGCTGAGATACTGCCAGGTTGCTTGAGCCTAGAAAGAAGTGATGCGGGAGCCGGGTTCGAACCACAGACCTTCCAGTCAGTAAATTCGCACTATAACCACTGAGCCATCTTGCCCGCAATTCATTCAAATCAAAAACAACAAAATGCACTCCAGTGCAATCAATACAACGTTATGAAAGACAGTATAATATATTTCAGTACGAACAAGATAAACACGAGACTAGCCGCTAACCCAAAACCAGCGTTGAGAGGTAAACAACTCAAGTTACTTACAAGCTTCCATGAGCCACTAGGATACAACCATGGGAAAGGCTGATGGGAACGGGTTACAAGAAATACAGGGAAATGGTCGGGAGTGAAATGCTTTCACCATTAAATCGCACCGAATTAACCAGAAAATTATTATTGGCATGATTTTGAAAGGAACGTCTCCCTCTTTTTACTCTATTGTACTACTGTATGCCCACATCCATTACTCGCATTTTTTGTTTCGAAAATGAACGAGTATTGTAGCGGCGTCATTTTACGAACACCGCCCAACGGAAGCCCAGCGTAGAAAATCAACCTGGGACTACGAGATTATAATTCACAGTCCACCTGTTCTCATCTTGTAAAAGCAGAACCATGTGGACTCAGCTTAAAAGCGACACATCTTCACTACAAGCTGTTTTACAGTGACCTGCTCACCACTAGCCTTTTAATAACTAGGAATAAGAACGTGAACCAGTGCCAATACAGAGCGGTTGAAAATGCAAAACAGGCTTTCCAACCTTCGAGATCTAATGGACGCCGGTTGTCATGCCGGAGATGTTGATCCATTATCCGGTATTCGCTTGCGAACCATTAACGCTCGGACTACCCGGCTTTTACAGTGCTCCGAAGGCGGTCGGACTTAAGTGTTTCAAACGATGCATCAGACCTCTAGATCAAAACCGTCAAGTTTTCCCACCACAAAAGAACGTGAACCAGTGCCAATACAGAGCGGTTGAAAATGCAAAACAGGCTTTCCAACCTTCGAGATCTAATGGACGCCGGTTGTCATGCCGGAGATGTTGATCCATTATCCGGTATTCGCTTGCGAACCATTAACGCTCGGACTACCCGGCTTTTACAGTGCTCCGAAGGCGGTCGGACTTAAGTGTTTCAAACGATGCATCAGACCTCTAGATCAAAACCGTCAAGTTTTCCCACCACAAAAAAAACAGACTATTTCATTTCTGATACAACAGGTAATGTAGCACAGATGAAAATCGCTCCGTGATACTCAGCACATATGTTGAATTCACAAGTCATAAATCACTGTCACTGCAGTGGCCAAGGCAGATAAATCAGTGTGCACACCCATTCTCCTCCTGATGAAGTAAACCGGAGTTAAAAGGTTAAGAACTTGTCCTCTGAAAGTTCAGGCCGGTGATCAGAATAGGAGGCAATTTCATCAACTGTATTTGCTACCAAGTGAACTATCAGTGAATAAGAAAGTGATGTCATCCACATAAACCACTTAGGCGCTCTCCACATATTCCCACAACACAACAAAATGTAACAAAAGGAACCAGTCGAGTTTAAGTTGTGTTGAACAAGCAACCGAAACCCGGCGAACTGCGCCCAAATCTCCTTGAGGGTTTCAATGTCATAAGGTTTACTTGTCAAAGGCTTGGACGGTGCCAGGGCACAACATTTAGACTACGAAACGATAAAAGTCATCGGCTAAGTCTACCACTCTACCGGAAGGCTGCTACATCAGCATAGTGCTAAACTTATTCAAACCTGGAGGACCAAATAACCACTTGTGTGATTGTCCTCTGATCAGATATCCGTTGACCAGATAGCGAAGGTTCTGACGATAGTGCATGAGTACTGAGGTCCAGACGCTGTTGCAATACGGTAAAATCCAGTCCCTTCGTGAAGGAATTCAGCTGCACCCTGCACCCCAGTAAGAAACTTCTGTGAAACAATTACTATTACTTGGTACACAACTGATAAGTTGACCGAGACAAGACAAGAGCAGCAGATGCTAAACCCTATGAGCTATGAACTGGAATATCTCACCATAACTTTCGGAAAACCGATTACTTCTTGGTGGAGTTGTCATTCATACCAATCCAAAAATTTCTACTGTCTCCACAAGTAGTTTTTAACAGAGCCAACTATTCATTTCTTTCTTGAGCAGTACAAGTTACTCCCGATGCTACCAGCTAGGCTACGGGCGAAAGAAAGAAGGCCTTCGCTGCGGAGTTGTTTATTAGAAAATGCCATTGACCGAGACAAGACAAGAGCAGCAGATGCTAAACCCTATGAGCTATGAACTGGAATATCTCACCATAACTTTCGGAAAACCGATTACTTCTTGGTGGAGTTGTCATTCATACCAATCCAAAAATTTCTACTGTCTCCACAAGTAGTTTTTAACAGAGCCAACTATTCATTTCTTTCTTGAGCAGTACAAGTTACTCCCGGTGCTACCAGCTAGGCTACGGGCGAAAGAAAGAAGGCCTTCGCTGCGGAGTTGTTTATTAGAAAATGCCAAATGAACAGCTACAGACTATTGGACAGGGAAGCAAAGCACTCATATGCATCTTGTTTACAAAAAATGAATATCCATGCTCTCTTTGAACTCGTCTTCCTGCACTTTTCTGGATATTCATTGACTGTTGCTCAAATCCAAACAAATGCTACAAAGCGACTACACAAATTCAGCAATGGATCTCACTTTTCAAGAGACGCAAGGGGATTTACAAGAAAACATACTACTCGCATGCCTCCGCTATCAGTAGTATCACCGTCAGACAGGTAGTCGCTTAGCCTTGACTCTTTCGCGAAACCAACCAAAGTGGGCTCTGTATGTGAATGTATCTGATGAGGCTATACTGCTCACACTTCACGCCGATGGCAATTTTCAAAGTTTTCCTAATATAGACCCAAGCATACATATTGCAAACGAAAAGACATTATTTAGATGGGACCACAACCGGCGGTCTCTCACCTGCTGGTCGATTGCTCTACCAACTACGTTTTGTAAACAAAAATTGGTAATATACCAATCCAAACAGGTTACTCAGTATGTATGTCCAGCTCGAGATATGACAGTCAAAATGCGGGGTTTTATGTTTGAGGACGGGTTGAATCAATCTAGGCCTCGAGAAAAACCATAATTGTTTGAATCAGAGACTTGATAATGTTACGAAGATGCAAAAATGCGACAAACAGACGTCCTCTTTGCATATAAAGAGGAAGTGTCATTACTTCAAACTCACCTGATTGGAGCAAAGCCAACACCCTTAAACACGTCCATTCGAACGAGCCCAGACGAAGATACCTGAGTGCCGGCCAAATTCGTTCCCGAATATGACCGCGTTTATCCAGAGCATATTCTCCGGCTTGCCCTGGATCACCACCGATCTGTCGCTCATTTCTATCCCAGTCCGGTAAGGCTTGTTGATTTGGCATCAGCCATGGTGAATCAGTGATCAGCTTTGCTGAGCCGTTACACGTTTGCGCAGCAGAGTCAGTGTAGTTGGTCTGTGCTGTTCCGGAACATTTTGAAAATCCGTGAGAAGCTATCGACTGGCATTCAATGAAGGCCTGTAAGAGAATTAGACGATCCATAAATTGTGATATTGCCATTCTAAATGACAGTTAAGTTCAGGTGAAATTAATGTTCATCCATGCTGATATTCCATAAGGATGGAACCACTCGTTTCGGGGGAGACACATGACTGGAAACGTTAGTATTCTACATATTACTGATCTCGTACTCGAATCGAACCCGCAATCTTTGCTACGGTGTTGGCATATCCCCTCTATAAGTTTCGGCTTGCTGTTCAGGGCCCTACCACACAGCACAAGAGAATTAGACGATCCATAAATTGTGATATTGCCATTCTAAATGACAGTTAAGTTCAGGTGAAATTAATGTTCATCCATGCTGATATTCCATAAGGATGGAACCACTCGTTTCGGGGGAGACACATGACTGGAAACGTTAGTATTCTACATATTACTGATCTCGTACTCGAATCGAACCCGCAATCTTTGCTACGGTGTTGGCATATCCCCTCTATAAGTTTCGGCTTGCTGTTCAGGGCCCTACTCACACAGCACACGACCGTGCGTAGATGTGAATGCAACCCATTCTTTGGGGTCAGATTTCTGAAAAGAATAAACCCACTCCAACTTAACCTCAGAGAGGACATAACGGCGAACTCCGAGTTGGAAACGCACACATCTACTTCTTGGAGTTCATCAAGAAGGCGTATTCTTCGTGTTCCTATCAAATTTATATTGCATTTGAACACAGGAGATTCAATCTCCTGTTACTTTCCAGCTGAGTGTATTCCACCAATTTTGTATGGTCCGGTATTCAAGCGGAACACAAGGAAGATGGAAACTGCAGAAATTCGCCAACCTGTTGAGCACCAAACAGGTTGAAACCGGTAGTGCTTTTTCGAAGTTTTAGTTAGCCCTAAATGTAGTGTGAAATAATGAGTACTACCTTCTTACATGAGTACATGCATAAAATACGGTCTTCTGCCGGTTTTACCCATTGTGTCATGTAAATTTTGTTCATCCGAGTAGTTTCACGATTCTCTTGTATTCCAGAAAGAAGGACTTTGGCTCACTTGCTAAGCTTGTCTGATTCACAAATACAAAATTGGACCAGGAATGTATGCACGGCTTCGTGGTACTTGTAAACAGCCGTCAGCATCTTCCGTTTTGCATCGCCGAACAAAGTTTTTATCACTTCTCTGGCTTTCTACCTATCGCTACGGACAACGAACGGAAAATATTGTGTGTCTAAATTGCTTTGCAACGCATTCGTTGTGCATCACAGGATTCCCACAGGCAAAAATAATCTCTAACTCAGACTCACGTACTGTACTTTTACGGACTCTCTTGAGGTCATCTGGCGGTAACAGTGAACGACTCATCAATGAATGCTATCCGTCATCGGTCTTAGGGCATTACTGATAAAATCTGCAAACATCCTACCTGTGGTTCACGTAGTTTCGTCGATAAAAGCAACGAAGTGACCTCACTGGTATTTCCTACCCACGCAGCACACAGCATAATGTCCTAAGTGTTAGCCAAGTATGCAGTCGGAAGTGATATTTTCCAGGAATAGGAGTTACGTAGAATTCTAGGGAGAACGAGTGATCTTAATAACGCTTCGTACACCAAATTCACAAGTAGAATAATATTGTCCAGCTGTGACAGGGCCGGTGCATGCTGTCACGAAGGAAGCACGATAACTGGGATCCTGCCAAGTTGAACAGGCTTAGACGGGAACAGTCGACGTGCCAAGGTTAAGTTTAAACCACTGATTTTTCGGTCAACAGTTCTCACGTTATAAATACGCCGGTGAATCTCAAGAGATGTTTTCTTCACGCAGTTTAGTACACTACAGTGACCGTCACGCGTGCAACTATTATCCTTCGTTAAAGCAGAACACCAATGGTTGAACTGGAGGTAAACGAAGGCGCACAATTTACGACAATGACCGATTTTTCTGGGCGAAATGCGTAAACAACCACAAACTGAGTAACACTCGACTGACCTCAGAGTGAACGGGTTTCACGCCATCCGAGCCACACTGGTCAGTATTTGTTAGAATATGGGTCATCCACGCGAATGAAGTCAAATCACAAAAGGTATTGGGAGCAGGATCGATACGCGGTGTGGTCTCGCTCTTTGCCTAAGGCTCAGAGTTTCAGCAAGGTTGGAGTATAGACTAAGTAGATGTCATCATCAACTCAACCCCCCTTATCACCTAATAAAAATATGTTACCACGATTTTGGATGTGTTTCATTTCATCTTATCGCTCAGTTTGTTCCTTAAGTGTAGAACAAAAAGCGGAAGTTATTAATCACTTCGGAAGGGATGTCACTCCTCGGGCCTCCTCATCATCAGATGCCCATAAGATATTTTATCCACCGAGAAGTTACCATCTAACTCCATCATCGACGGCATGACATCAGTGTTCAACACCGATGCCTCACTGCCGTACAACCATGACTTATTTGAAAGCCTTATTGTAAAGAAAAGAATAAAGGTGGACGGGGGAGGGACTTAGGGCTAGCTTAACACAATCATTCCGAGGTGCCTATACATACAGACATTCACTCAGGCAATCTGGATAGAAACTGACAACAAGAACGCCACTGACATCGGTTGGCAGCCATATCTTGTAGTGTCTCCAACCAGGCACAGTGAGGATCACGCGGTCCCCATCCTGGAAGGCGAGTAGAACCGACAGTACCCAAGCGTTTCGTGATCTCCTTCATACTCCTCTGCCTTCTAAAGCCTCCAAATGCGTCACTGCTCATTTTTGGGCGACTGACTGCAAATTTTCCTGTTGAACGATTGTGACTCTAGCTTCAGTTACACTATTATTAGTGAAATTTGATTGAGCAAATACTTTCACTTGCATTATTCGCACATCTGAGTCACAGTGCTCCCAAGTATCTGTGTCCTATCTTCACGACTCAGGTTTTACGTTGATGCACCTTCAGAGCACGCCTACTGCTGAGATCCACATTGTGCCACCAATAGAACTTCGTTTCCTGAACCAGTTAGCTTTCCAGAAACTTTTGATTTATTGGAGGTGGTTGCGAGATTTGTGAAATTCGTGTTCACATCACTCTGTTTTGAATAGCCCTCCTCTTGTCCTGGCGCAGCTCTCCTGATGAGCCCACACCAAAGGGAGCAAAGAGTGGATCCAAATTTCACTCTTATTAGAGTTCATCTGTAGCGCATATTCTTAGCCATGCGCAGTTTGACCTCCGGTAATCTGATGTGCTAGGCGAACGTGTTACCACCGTTCCGTACCTTGTTGAGTTGATCAGATCACGAACATATAAAGCTGGTGTCACTTACAAGCGATACTACTGAATTCACGAGTGCTGCATCATACTTCCATAAAGCAGATCAACGGTTATACTAGGTTAGGAAAGATATTTTTCGCAAAGCTGCCCTTTCATTTCTGTGCTACTAAAATTTGAATCGAGCAAGATCCTGCTGATCAATCACATGACATGACTTACTGAGCAATCGAGCATCCAAAGCTTAACTGGAGTGGAGATAATAACAAGATCAGTAGTCTTGTCAGAGTTCCGCACCTTCATATGAGACAGCCGAGGTAAGTTTACCCCATGGTCCAATTCTGAAATTTGGAGTTTGTCTCATTGAAGGGCAGTGGGCATAGCAAAACTCAAACATAGGCTTTTATGGACTAATCACAGCAGTAATTAGGGGACATGAGTTAATTGAACTGATAAATTTTCGCCTGGTTCGACGAACATCATCACCGCGCCTATCTCATCGCAGTTCCGCAGTGTAGCAGAAAGAATCTGCGGCCGAAGGTTCAACCTCTTGGAATCCACAAATAAACAATCACTCCCTACATACGCTACTGAACAGCGGTCATTCTATCATGCCAGTTTGAGGACACAAAAGGTACGCTCATTTGCACTTAGTTTGACGTATTGTTTTCTATTTCAGCTATTCTATATCGCAGATGATGGGGACATACTGATGATCTAGGAAATCCAGTTGACCAATTCCAAAGAGCTGCTACCCACATCCGGTTGAGCACTTCGTTGTCGACGTTTGCACATGGTAAACAGTAACAATTAGTAACAAAGGAGGGCACCCCTTACTGCTTCCGTATCCTAAAATGTTTTTCACGTCGTTACGGATCCAAAAGCAAGATTCTCGGGATGGTGACCTCAGCGAATCGCCTAATCTTGAAGGCTGTATTTAGAGTTTTGACTCAGTGGATCACCTCTTCTTCTGGTCTGGATCAACCATGAAACAAGTCCTAATATCAGTAACCCAAAGATGGTGATGCTGTCGTTCAGCTATAGCACCCTTTCTGTGTCTAGCTGCCATGCCATACGAAGGAGGCACGAGGGCTGAGATACTGCCAGGTTGCCCAAGCCTAGACAGGGTAAGTCGAGTGGCAGAGGTCGGGTTCGAACCACGGACAGAACCCGGTCAGTAAATTCGCGCTCTAATCCCTTGGTCCATCTGTGCTCTTGGCAAACTACTTTTGACCTCCGAGTTTCTAGGTTCCAAGGAAATCAACACTGGTAGATCTGGAAAAGGAACCATCACTACACAAATGAGCCTACATTTGTAATGATTTCATTAGTGTTATTATCATCGACAGTATAACATCACTGTCCAATACTGATGCACCGATGCCTTACAACCAAAATTCACTTTGAAGCCTTGTTCTGAAGGAAAGAATAAAAGTGGATGCAGAAAGGGATTAGAGTTCCCTTACCACAAATATCCCGAAATATCCAGACCCTTACTGAGACACTGTAGATAAAAAACGATAGGAAGAATGCCATTGATACTGATAAGCAATGACACCTTGTCAGCCATATCCCTCCTGGCTTGTTGGTTTGCCTTAAACACTCATAAAGTCCTAATGATAAAAAAGACTGGGAATACTCATTACACATGTACAGGTATCAAAAACCGAAAACCTACTTCGATCTCAGCTAGAATGCTCAATATCACGCTGCCATGACGTGCCAGTTTCTGTCTATCCAATTCGTCTAATTCAACTGATATCATTTGTGTGGTATCCGGGGACTGGGCAACTGCACTCGAGCACGTAGTTCCCGGAAGCTGGTCTTCGTAACTTGAGGCGAGTAACCACTGCTCATTTAGCCCGACATCATCGCACTCTCCATCTTCCTCATCATCCTGACTCCAGTGGGCAAAACAATGGCGTTTCCATTCTCGGCGGTCTGCATAGAGTCGTCTAATCAACCTGTTGATAGGTTGTAAGGCTTGTAGGGCGCTTCGTTCGCATGCGGCGAGATTTGACTGAGGTTCAGCACCAGACGGGAACTGTAGTCGTTGGAGCCATTCTCGAATCACATCTAACGGGCCGAGATAAACTCGCCGCGTTTCGCTGGTTGTAGGTATTTGTCCAGGGCACGATGAGTCCGGACCGAACGATGGCTGTTTGGTAGTCGTGGAGGGCGACGGCGAGCCTGGAGGCAGCTTCAGTTTTGGACATGAATTGTGAGTCAGACTACCGTCTGGGCAACTTACTGAGGGGTTCCAGAAAATTTGAGACGGTGGAGTAAGTTGATAAGGTCTTGTAGAAGTGGTTGTCCCCTGGTAGATGACATGAGGAGCACGTGAATCCCATGGGTATGGGTAGGCCTGCTGAGTACCACCTGGAGGTACCTTCGTCAGCGCAGAGATACCAGAAAGGTTGAGATTTCCCTCAGAATGATAAACCGTAGGCTGCATGTGAACGAGTGAGTTTGGAAGTGGAAGTCTGGAAGTCGACGTCTCCAGAGTATGAGGTAATGTGCGATGTCCAATCAAATAGCCGGTATCTTGACCGACCGCAGTGGAGAAAGCTGCAGCAGAGGCGAATCGTCGAGCTGCAGCTGCAAGTGCGGCCGACGAAAAACGGTTAGCGTCAAGATTGATAGATGTTTCTTGAGTGGCATGTGTGTAGGAAGACAGAGCGTTGTAGTCAGTGGAGGAATACTGTTGTCGGTTTGCCAGGTTGCTAGCCTGATACAACGCGTTCCGATCATACCTCATCGCAGTAAACTCACTCCTCTGATTAGCGGAGGAATGTGTAGTTGTATAATTCTGTGGGAACGAAGCCTGCAACATGGTGGAAACGCGAGCCCGTTGAACCGCTTGGGAAAACGTGAAAAAGTATGGAATGAGTGGTCCGAGGATATGCTGAAATTAAACATCGCTAAAAACCGTGTACAGAACGAGCCGCTTTTTAGGCGATTCATACACCGAATGCAAGTAGGTTTCAATAGCCCATTCAACAATTCAAGCTATATGGGAATTTTTTGTTGAACCGCAGTATGCGGGCTGTGTAACCGGGTGAGCCATTTTAGCGACAGCTCAAATGTGTATTATGTCATTCGAATCCCCTTCGGATGTCTAATCTATGGTCAGCCATCATCATTGTACCACTGCGCTTCATTCTCTAGACTCACATCCACCCCCGTCCTATCCTATCACACACACACAGACGTTCTGTATTCGGAAAGTAGGTTTCAATAGCCCATTCAACAATTCAAGCTATATGGGAATTTTTTGTTGAACCGCAGTATGCGGGCTGTGTAACCGGGTGAGCCATTTTAGCGACAGCTCAAATGTGTATTATGTCATTCGAATCCCCTTCGGATGTCTAATCTATGGTCAGCCATCATCATTGTACCACTGCGCTTCATTCTCTAGACTCACATCCACCCCCGTCCTATCCTATCACACACACACACACACAGACGTTCTACTTGTATTCGGACCGAAGACCCGCAAGTTGATTTACCGAAGCATCAGGTGAATGAGTACACGGTAAAAAAAACGGTAAATTGGCACTCGACTCCTTGCCCACCCACCTACTCTGGGTGATTTTCACAGTGGGAAAATGTTTGATCAGCCGGAGGCTGTGTTAGGAACGCCTCGCGTGCAATAAACCTGTTTCGATGAGAAAGGCATGCCAACATCCCAGTAACAAATTACCAGCATTTTTTTACTGAAAACCGCAAGAGTTCATTATTGATGGAAGTACAAAAAATTATGTTGTGTACGGGATTTATGTCAGAAGTTTCACAACTTCATCAAGCCTTAGAGTTCTGATAACTATGATTTTCGCTCATCGGAGAGGCGATCAACTATAAACCCTAAATAATAGCGTAATATGAATGGCCATCCAGTGAAAAGCCATCTATTTTATACCGTCACCATATGTCATACGGAAGAACAGTCAGTTATTGTTCATGTGGCTGCTGATCAGTTCGCCTATCTCGGTAACTGCAGTGGAAATATCTCGTTCCGATTCGAGGTTATATCCTCAGCACACGCACTGAACCGCCATGGGCAGATGAGACATTTCACCGTGACTTAGAGTGGCTTTCTTTTGAAAGAATTAAGACCGTAGGGTCAGTCTGCAGCATCAGCGTAAATATAGCTCTAAGGTTCGAAGCACAACACCAAACTCCTGCTCGAATCGAACGGGAGTTCTAGATTAAAAGTTAACATATTTAGCAATTTTGACGAACAAAGCCACAACGGTCTCTCAAGATGAACCTTTCCAAACAGAAACCAATTTCTTAAGCAGTCCGGAACAAAGCTTATCGTCCATTCTACTGATTGATCCTTCCCAAGGTAAGTTGTCCCCCAGATGATGTAGAAATATCCCGTTTTTCGTGGTCGTCCTATTTTGGGTAAATAATCATTTGAAGAATGGGAACTCGGGCAGTGGAAACGAACAACATGAGGTTTTCCATCATGTCCCGTTTCCAACGAGCGATTTGCACTAGAACACAGGAAAATCTACTTGGGTAGCACTGAATACGTCTTGGGTTCAAACAGTCCTTTCTTAGTGATGCGAAAAAACGCAAAACTGAGGTCAACCAAAAAATATAGACAATTCAGAACACCACCATGTAAAGTTCCGCTAGGATGAACTTGAAAAAGCCTAACAAATTTGGTTGGACCAACAAGATGGTCGTACCAGGGCTGGGTGAATAGCCTGAGTCCTGCAGGTGCCGTTCATGGTCGCTTGCTCACATTAGAAAAGCACTCCATACGGAAGCACCCGTTTGAGAAAGGAAGCTCTGTACTTTACATGTACATAACTAGAAAATGATTCGTGGTCACGTGCGTCAAAAGTCAGGACCAACCGTTTTAAACAAAAACGTAACGAAAAATGGCACAAAGAGGTGGTAGTTACAATGCCTTTAACTAAACAAAATTGACAAAAATTAATTTAAAAAAATCACCAGAAATGACTAACTCAGTAAGCGAAGCTAGGTTTGACTCAAATTACAATTGCCCCTTCCTTCTGTTTGCCATCCAAAATTTTTGTACGGTACCACAAAACTTGCTTCACTTCCCTTAATTTGACAAGGTAAAATTCAGGGATGTTTGGACTATATCGCGGAATTCTGTGAACATACCGGCTCACTATCTTTTTGGCAGTGTGCAAATGGAAGTTGGGCATTTTATGGGCCCAGTTTGTAGGACGCTCGTACATAGACTACTCACAGTCTGCCGACAAGGAACGTGCTCAGTCACACTTACAAATGTAGGGAATCGGTTTGCCGCGTGCTAACTCAATTGGAAAGGTGAGCATTTAACAACGATGCAGTAAGCCATACGAACTACCTGCATTCATCACCAAAAATCCATACTCATATAGCTTTAATTGGGCTTACTAAACCGTAGAAATAAATTCAGCTGTTGTGTGAACAAGCCTTTCATCCCTGCGAGGCGGGTCTTTTTCCTATTGTTTTTGGAAATGTGACGGAAACCAAGACAAGGTTGTTATCAAATCCAGTATCTATGGATGTTTTCACCGATTTGGTAAACTCACAAGTCGTTTACTTTCACTCTTGACATTCTGTCCATAAGAAAACTCCTTAGCTCTTCTGAAAAATACAAACGTTCATAACGAGGCAAATAATTGTAGACCTGAACGGATGCCCCCTCGTTCCACAGTTGTGTCCAACTTAATCACTGCTTACATTCCAACGGGAAGAAGTAAGGTGTCATCAACTCCGATTCTACCAATGTCGGAGCTTCATTTGTCGCTAAACTACAAGGAGTGTTGTCTAATGCCTTAGCGATAAGGTTGAATGAAGCGGGTACATTTCTTGGTCGGATTCTTCACTCTCAAGCGCCAGACCAGAACAAGCGGGATCACTGCTTTTAAAGCAAGACTGTTGGTCTGCATAGCTCTGTTCGCGCCAAGTTCGGCCTCGACATTCGGAAACTGGATTGCTCATTTTATGGGATTACTGATTTCACATTCAGGTTTCACATAAAACCAACCACCAACGCACAATAGCCCGTGGGTTGTCACAGAATGCCAGAAAACCATCCCTGATCAGGCCCTTAAGTTTGACATTTTATGAATGGAATGTTCAACTTCTATTGCGCTTTTTTTCTTGAGGCGAATATATTCACAAGGTTGCTGAAAACTCTGACAATCACAACCGGTGTTGCCCTTCTTGGGGCTCATCAAGCAAGCTCGCACTCCGGTAGTTTCCGGTCGACCCAATGTCCTGCTTGAACCCAAATTGTATGAAATCTACCGACTAGATTCATTTGCACGCCGAGTTGGTTTTAACGCGAGACTCAACTGAGTTGATTATGCATCATTTCATTGGTAACCTTTGCGCACGAAGATACGGTCACAAAATCTCAGTCAAATTTTCTCCAGACATCTTACGAGCTCTTGTGAAAGCTGACTACCACACACGCACACAAAGCGCCTCAAACCGGTTGCTTATATCCACGTTAGGCTTAAGTACTGTGGGAAGATATGTGAAGGCACAACACCAGCGAGCGATTTGTGAAGGCCCTTCAGAAGAGCCATCGCACTCCCTAGGTGACCCCGATGGCTGTTTTGTCAGTGAGCCACAGTTCCTCCTGTATAAGTGCAGAGCTACGCGAAATTGCAAAAGTACGCAAAGTTGACCGTAACTTATTGTCGCAAAACACCGGCGCTATTGAAAGCTCCGGTAGGAGAACGGATTTGGGTAGAGACAGTTGGTACAGAGTGACAAAATCTGTAAGAGAAAAACAGAGATTACAAGTTTCTTAAAACTCTCCCCCGTCGTAGCCAAAGAGACTAACACTGATACTACTCAGAGTGTCCCAAGGCTAAAAGAATTAATACGAACCAAGGATAGCAACGCTAAAGGGCCGCACGTTTGAACAGCCCATAATAAAAAAAAACTAGTTCGACGGCACTGATGAAGCGGCTTGGAATAAAAACGGAAGAACTTTAGTAGATAATATATCTCACCACTAACAGGAAAGCATGAGGGCAAGTGATAATGAAGGAAAGCGCAGAGGTAATAAGGTCATACTTCCGTACACAGGAGTCTCCCCAACAACAACCACTGTCAAAAAGCAGGGGTACACCCCAATGAAATGGGGAAAGTTCATAAAGTAAGACGAGATTATATGGTGGAGACAAGGAGCCTTGAGAAGAACATTAAGTGGAAAATGAGATCAGCAAGTCTCCAAGCTTTAATATCTAGCTAATGGATGTTCTTAGTTGCTACTCAGAAATGATGAGACAGGAAAGAGGTCATGTATGAAGTGTCAGGCAGAACAAATGACGGATCGATGACACGAAACGTCGTCTTAAGCGGATCGTGGAAGAATCTCTGCCAGGTTGCAAAAAGAGACTTCCATGTAGACAGGTGTAAAGGCCCGATACCCTGCTGGCAACCCTTAGATTCCTAGCAGTGGAATCAGTCGAACAAAGTCAAACAAAATGGTCACTGACATCCGTCCATTTGACCAAAGGATCGATCTGATTTGTACCAAGCGAACTGCCTTAACTCAAGGAACTTGTAACCTAGCACCAAAAAATGTCCTCTGGGGTTATTTTCATGAGCCCTCAATCCCACCCAAAATTGAGAAGCAAAGATGAACATGTGGCTATAATGTGGATCCTGTAAGCCAGCACATGCAGTATAAGTAATAAATAGACAGAGCGAAACAGGGCAGTCGATGAGTAGGACCACGTGATTCCAAAGACATATCTGAATGGAAATCAAACTCTCATTATCGCTACATATCCTCCACTCCTTCCGGTTAAACAGGTTTACGCAGTGAGCATCTGACTCTCGAGTCTGAATGATTGTAAATCGATCCTTTCCAGCTGTCTGTACTGCACTCGAAATTATTGATATGTATAACGATCATGACCTTCTCTCTCGTTTTCATGTTCGGCAGCTTAGAAAGCACTAAAGCGGGGAAGAACTGAAAAAGGAACCTGGTTCTGATTCAGCCACGAAGATGTGCAAGTCATTTCACATACTCCAGACTCACCTTCCTTTTTCATCCCAGCTAATAAGCATCTCGTCATCCGACAAGCTTGGCACTGGTTTCTTCTCTGTGCATCTACGGGACATTGACCCTCTGAACGACATACGTAAGAGGCCGATTTACGCACTGAACGTTTGAAGAAACTCTTACAGCCTTCACATGTGAACTGGCCATAATGTTTTCCGCTGCTCCGATCACCACATACCTGAATACGAAGGGTCAGAAGTAGACTAAGGCGATGATATGTCTGCTCGTACTAGGGAAGAAAAAATCCACCGAAGATTGGAAATGGCAGTATTACTCTCTAATAGGAACTGGCTAACCCCATCCAGACCGGGGTCGCTCGACCTGAAGAAAATCGCTGCCAGCTTCAGATTAAACAAGCTAACTGACCTTGTGACCGGTATGATACTGTACCGTAGTAGTTTCCCCGATGAGTTTACAAACTCAAACTTACCAGTGATTATTGGTCAACTCATTCGCCGAATCTTACGAACCCATAAGCGCAGGATTCTACAAAACGTTGACTGATGTGTACCTAATGCGCAATTGTTAACGGTCTATCAAACACACCACAAAGCATCTGCATACCAGACGGACAAAATTTGGAAGTACCTACTAAATGTGTATTTCTTACGCCTTCTTCCAGAAACAACAAGTTTATAGCATGGAGAATGGGACACAAGTGGTGAAGGTCAGAGTATCCATCAGAAGAGCAGTTGTTCAAGTGCGAAAATTGAGTTATATGAGTCTAAAGTACATTGAACAGTCTCCTCTGATAAGATGAAGCAGAATTAGAAGGATATGGGAGATGATAAAGAGCAGTGAGATATATAAGTCTCATTCTTCTCCCAATATGAGCTGGGTAGACTTGTCAAAAGCTTTATTTCTTTAAATCGAACAGTAATATCTATCTGTTTAGGAAAAATCAGACCAAACCACCAAGCCGGATTTTTCGGGAACTGATGGGAGCTCCGTTACACATCAGTTTGATCTAAATGGAACTTGACTACTTTTCAGATATCTCAGAATAACGGGTGCTTTCTTGCTTACCTCACATCAAACAGCTGACTTTCAACTTCAGGCAACGCACCGAACTCAAAATCAGGTCAACGATTTTCACCTTGCGCCATAAGCATGGCAATTTCTAGTGTCAGCATCAGAGACTGCCCTCTTCTAAGTATAAACAGCAATATTGATAATAATAATAATAATAATAATAAATGGGCGATATGGCTCAGTGGTTAGAGCACAAATCTACCGTTCAGAAGGTTCATGGTTTGGACCCAAACTCTGAATCTCGACTTCTTCTGTCTTGGTTTGGATGATCTGGCAGTATCTCAGTCCTCGTCTGGATACTCAGTTCTCTTCCGATGTACGTAGTTTGCGATATTCGAAACCGA